GAACTGTCAAAGTCGTGAAAAAGTGCGTTTATGTTTATATTAGACGAGGCAAGTACTCCGAAATTAAAATTTTAAAGTAATAGAAGTTGATACTGAAATTATTTTAAGTCCCGCGCGCGATTCAGACTTTTTAATGTTTAAATAAATGCACTATTGTTTAAATATTACTCTATTCTATCCCGCGTGCTACAAAAATCGTTTAAATAATTATGAAATTACCGAAAATATTAATTTATAAGCTTTAGCGTTTAGAAAAGTGAATCGCGATGTGCACAGATCGAAGGGCAAGAGAAAACTAACTCGCGAACTGTCAAAGTCGGGAAAAAGTGCGTTTATGTATATATTACACGAGGCAACTACTCCGAAATTGAAATTTTAAGTAATAGAAATTTATATTAAAATTATTTTAAGTCCTGCACGCGATTCAGACTTTTTAATGTTTAAATAAATGATCTATTGCTTATAAATTACTCTATTCTATACCGCGTGGTACAAAAATCGTTTAAATAATTATGAAATTACCGAAAATATTAATTTATAAGCTTTAGCGTTTAGAAAAGTGAATCGCGATGTGCACAGATCGAAGGGCAAGAGAAAACTAACTCGCGAACTTTCAAAGTCGTGAAAAAGAGCGTTTATGTTTATATTACAGAAGGCAAATACTCCGAAATTAAAATTTTAAAGTAATAGAAGTTGATACTGAAATTATTTTAAGTCCCGCGCGCGATTCAGACTTTTTAATGTTTAAATAAATGCACTATTGTTTAAATATTACTCTATTCTATCCCGCGTGCTACAAAAATCGTTTAAATAATTATGAAATTACCGAAAATATTAATTTATAAGCTTTAGCGTTTAGAAAAGTGAATCGCGATGTGCACAGATCGAAGGGCAAGAGAAAACTAACTCGCGAACTGTCAAAGTCGGGAAAAAGTGCGTTTATGTATATATTACACGAGGCAACTACTCCGAAATTGAAATTTTAAGTAATAGAAATTTATATTAAAATTATTTTAAGTCCTGCACGCGATTCAGACTTTTTAATGTTTAAATAAATGATCTATTGCTTATAAATTACTCTATTCTATACCGCGTGCTACAAAAATCGTTTAAATAATTATGAAATTACCGAAAATATTAATTTATAAGCTTTAGCGTTTAGAAAAGTGAATCGCGATGTGCACAGATCGAAGGGCAAGAGAAAACTAACTCGCGAACTTTCAAAGTCGTGAAAAAGAGCGTTTATGTTTATATTACAGAAGGCAAATACTCCGAAATTAAAATTTTAAAGTAATAGAAGTTGATACTGAAATTATTTTAAGTCCCGCGCGCGATTCAGACTTTTTAATGTTTAAATAAATGCACTATTGTTTAAATATTACTCTATTCTATCCCGCGTGCTACAAAAATCGTTTAAATAATTATGAAATTACCGAAAATATTAATTTATAAGCTTTAGCGTTTAGAAAAGTGAATCGCGATGTGCACAGATCGAAGGGCAAGAGAAAACTAACTCGCGAACTGTCAAAGTCGTGAAAAAGTGCGTTTATGTTTATATTACACGAGGCAACTACTCCGAAATTGAAATTTTAAGTAATAGAAATTTATATTAAAAGTATTTTAAGTCCCGCACGCGATTCAGACTTTTTAATGTTTAAATAAATGAACTATTGTTTAAATATAACTCTATTCTATCCCGCGTGCAATAAAAATCATTTTAATAATTACAAAATTACCGAAAATATTAATTTATAAGCTTTATTGTTTAGAAAAGTGAATCGCGATGTGCATAGGTCGGAGGACAAGAGAAAACTAACTCGCGAACTGTCAAAGTCGAGAAAAAGTGCGTTTATGTTTATATTACACGAGGCAACTACTCCGAAATTAAAATTTTAAGTAATAGAAATTTATATTAAAATTATTTTAACTCCCGCACGCGATTCAGACTTTTTAATGTTTAAATAAATGAACTATTGTTTAAATATTACTCTATTCTATCCCGCGTGCAATAAAAATCATTTTAATAATTACAAAATTACCGAAAATATTAATTTATAAGCTTTATTGTTTAGAAAAGTGAATCGCGATGTGCATAGGTCGGAGGACAAGAGAAAACTAACTCGCGAACTGTCAAAGTCGAGAAAAAGTGCGTTTATGTTTATATTACACGAGGCAACTACTCCGAAATTAAAATTTTAAGTAATAGAAATTTATATTAAAATTATTTTAACTCCCGCACGCGATTCAGACTTTTTAATGTTTAAATAAATGAACTATTGTTTAAATATTACTCTATTCTATCCCGCGTGCAATAAAAATCATTTTAATAATTACAAAATTACCGAAAATATTAATTTATAAGCTTTATTGTTTAGAAAAGTGAATCGCGATGTGCATAGGTCGGAGGACAAGAGAAAACTAACTCGCGAACTGTCAAAGTCGAGAAAAAGTGCGTTTATGTTTATATTACACGAGGCAACTACTCCGAAATTAAAATTTTAAGTAATAGAAATTTATATTAAAATTATTTTAACTCCCGCACGCGATTCAGACTTTTTAATGTTTAAATAAATGAACTATTGTTTAAATATTACTCTATTCTATCCCGCGTGCAATAAAAATCATTTTAATAATTACAAAATTACCGAAAATATTAATTTATAAGCTTTATTGTTTAGAAAAGTGAATCGCGATGTGCATAGGTCGGAGGACAAGAGAAAACTAACTCGCGAACTGTCAAAGTCGAGAAAAAGTGCGTTTATGTTTATATTACACGAGGCAACTACTCCGAAATTAAAATTTTAAGTAATAGGAATTTATATTAAAATTATTTTAAGTCCCGCACGCGATGCAGATTTTTTAATGTTTAAGTAAAATAATATTGTCGTTGAAGCTTCTCTTTTGGAGCTATGACGTCATACTTTTTTCTCCAATATTCCAGCTTTAGTTTTGCATAATCTATACTTTTCTCGTCCTTTAAATATGCTCTAATTATTAGTTCTTCGTTAATTAATTGTGCGATTGTATTTTGTTGTATATACGATTTTCATTTATACATATCTTTTCAATCTCATGGAATATCTTTCTTATGGATAGATACAAATATCGATACCTTCTTTACGCATATACATTTGCATACAATTAATTTTCTTCTATATTAATATCAACCTAATATTTGTCAGCTTTCCGTGTCGCATAAAAATTAAGAAAACTACATAGTACGGAAGAAATAATACTGGAAACACAATCGTCTTGCACATACCCGTAAGTCTATCTGTTTTCGAATAAATAAGGAATTGCTCTTGAAAGAGAAAGAGAGAGAGAGAGAGAAATAGAGAAAGAAAATGATATTAAAATATATAGATAATAGCTTCAATGTTCCCTCCTCTAATAATGTCTACGAATTTCCAATTTCTAACAATAATAAAAACAGAAAGCAATCGCGATATATGTTTTTGTATATATACCATTCCAGAAATTCATAAAGTATTCCATATACATACCGGCAAAAGCAGATGTAAACAATCAACAGACGATCCAGTACCTTGACGCAACCTTCTTGTTCTTTCTTACTAACATATTACTCAGTTCTCGTTCGTACAAGCAACTTTCCAGACGTGTTCAGGCCTACTCTTCCTTCGTTTTTTCCAGTAAGTCTAGCTTCTCATTTACATTAGATATAATATTTTATAAGTTTCATTTAATTACTCATGGTTCATTAATTTTATTTTATAACCTATTAGACTTCAATGTATATATATATATATATATATATGTGTGTGTATGTGTCTTTAAAAAATTTTAATTTAATCCCAACTAATATAAAAAGTTTGATATTAATTTCAACGAACTGTATATTGAATACACAGATCCCATATTATATTAATTTTATTCTATACTAATATTTTTTAACTTTGTCTGAGTTTTATTCATCGTATTCAACTAATCTGTTGACTTGGATATATTCAATAACAGCTATCATCTATATTCTACTGCAGCCCTTGCTGTACAATATATATATAAGCAAGTTTATTTTTAAAAATGTTTTTTAAAATGTGAATCAATATCAGTTCGAAATCAGTTCGAAGATAGAAGAATATCGAAAGGGTGAAAGAAATTATTGAAGAAAAATTAAATGTTCCTCCAAGACAAAGTCTTCTTGATGTTGGCAAAAGAAAATTATAATGAAATAAGATTTACATTTATCTCTGTACAAAATTCAAATTTTTTAACATTTAAGATCAAATTCAATAGAAAAAAAAAATGATATAGTGAAAGATAGTATAGTAACAAAGTACATTATTAGTTGTTTAAATATATATTAGTTGTAAAAAACAAAATTATCGAATTTAACATACAGAAATACCTGCTTTCGTTGAAACTCGTCCTCTTCGTTCTAAAAGTCCGTTTATTTTAACCGTTTTATATAATAACAAATTAATTGGATCTTATTTTTTCGATTCAACTGTTAAGACAGATAGCCAAAAACAAAAAAAAATAATAAAGGGAAAGTTTTTTCAACATATGTTATCGACTATTGCTCCGATGCTTAAATATATAAGTGTGTGATTTGAAAGTTATATCACGTATTCATAGACTATTCATATCTACATCGACAATCGGATCATCTTTTAACGTAACGTGTTTTACTATCATAATAGTCGCGGTGATTCCCTACAATACGAATGTCAATAACAAATTAACTACTAAACTTACCCATATAGGCACGTAATTTTCAACTTTTCTACTTGCGTATAATAGACATATAGAAATTAATGGGCAATTAGGTGCTATTTAAATAAATACACAAACATTACATCACCTTCCTTATCGAAATATATTATTTTGGTTATTCTAATAATACTCAAGTGAGTTTAATGGTTTAATTGCGTTATATTATGGTATGTTGAATTTTTAGTTACACTATAATTTATCTTTCAGTTATTTCATTTTTATGCATTAAGTAAATCTGCACAATAAATATAACGATTATGATCGGATAATGTATTAAGTTTTATTTTATTATTTTTTGCACATGTGTTGTTAAACAAGTAAAGAGTATGTAACATGGTATGTTGTGTGTGCGTGTATATATATATATATATATATATATATATATATATATATATACACGCACACATATACTACATTATATTTAAAATGGATAAGGTACGCATCACATAGGAAAAAAATATTGATGAGAAATTTTGAAGAGATATAGTTCATTGATAGAATGCGTTCAACATGATATTTTGCCGTTTCAACACGAAGAAATTCTTTGCATAATGTATTGGTGACAAAATGCAAGAAGATATTAAAAGATGAGAAGACAAAATATAAGATATAATGAAAGAATAATTATCATATCGACGATCGTAGAAAGTACGAGCTATTTATGGTAAGAGAAAATATTGACTTTCAAAGTAACATTTAGTATTTAATTACCCGAGTTCATATTGCAAGAACAAAGATAAAAATCGATTAACGACTTTCGTCTCGAAAGAATCGTACCGATTTCTCGAGTAACAAGTGAAATTAATTCGGCATTTAACGAGCACAGCCTTAAAAGACTTCAATGGTCTACATATTTCCGCATGTGTGTATGTGTGTGTGCGCACACGCACGCACTCTCTCTCTCTCTCTCTCTCTCTCACACACACACACACACACACATACATATGCACATGCAAACATGCGCACGCAGGTACATATGCACACACACGCGCGTGTATGTATGCGTATATGTATATATGTATTTGTATTTACACATGTTTATCTAAAGGTTTCAATGCCTATACATATATGTGGTACCATAAGTGTATTTAGCACAACTGACAATTAAGAAATCATATATCTTAAGGATTGGATTGATCAAATTTAAAGAATAAAACTCGTTAAGGCATTAGTTTTAAAATAAAACGACTAACATAATACCAAGTATTCTTTCTCGAGTATTTGTATACTATAGACTACAAAAACACTCGCAAATATATAAAGAAAAATAAGTATGTGCCAACTACTATATTTTTTCTTCCCAAATTTAAATACGGAAGCACGTATTGACCGTATTCTTTCATATTATCGGTTGATTGTCTCGAAAATGGAGCTCATATCCTTCTTTCATAGCGACAGTATATATATATATATATATATATATATATATATATATATGTGTGTGTGTGTGTGTGTGTGAGTTTGTGTGTGTGTATGTGTATACATATATGTATATATATGTTTATCATTTAAGATACATCTTAGTAGAAAGAGATATAGAAAAGTGATAAATAAAATGAATAAAGATAAAATGGAACCAATTGAACAAGCATTCTTTGATCTATTTGCCTATTTGACAAATCAAATAGAATAAATAATGCGCAAAATCTAAATATATATGACAAAAGCATATTGTAAGATTTGTATGAAGGATTTTATAAAGCAGTAAGATGAAATAATATGCATCTGTGTACTTTAACGTTTTCGCGTTACTACATTCACTAACTGTGCCATAATAATTTTTTTAATCAAGGAAAATGGGGATACAAGCTCTGTTCCTAATCGAGACTTTTATCTACTGTTGGAGCAGTTCTTGTTAGACGAATACTTTGACATTATTAACATTGAAAAATTCTACAAACTCGTCTTTTTCTACCCGTTAACTATTATAGCGAAATAAACGAACGGTAAGTGCAACTTGGAACAAAAGACAGAAAAATTTGTATCTATACGTATCGATATATCATAATTCTCTGTATAAGTGTCTGTGTTTATACGTATATATAATAATATATTACTTCAATCGATATATATTATATATACTCTGGAAGGCGACAGTAGAAACTACTGAAGTAAATGCATAATATACGCGGGAAATGAATACAGCGATTGTTAGATATTTTCATTTCGATCGGGCTAATTCGAAAAGTAGAATTCATTTTTACAATCGCCATGAAATACAATTCTCCGCAAATCGAAAATTAGAATTCGTCCTACGAATCCTTCGACGATCGGCACCAGGCCTCCCGTCTTTATCTTATAGCATAATAATACAGTGCGCACTAACATGGCGCTTTATTTCTTTAAAAAATACATCGAAAGATTCTTCTATGTTGTGACAACATGAAAAATGACAAAGTATTTTACGTCTCGTCCGTATTCCCTTATGTCATTACGAAAGATATAATTACTAAAACGAGAGAGAAAGAGAGAGAGAGAGAGAGAGAGAGAGAGAGAGAGAGAGAGAGAGAGAGAGAGAGAGAGAGAGAGAGAGAGAGAGAGAGAGAGAGAGAGAGACTGAGAGAGGGAGGAGTGGGAGAGGGGGGGTTAATATATGGGGTAATATAAGTAAAATAGTATGGAAAATCGGAGGAAAGAGAATAACCCTGAGTGAAAACAGATAACGTCGATCATGAAAAATAAGGAGAAGGTCGTAGAAGAGAAAGAGACTAATAAATCATAATATACAAAGAATAGACCGATGAGCTAATAAGAGATATTATCTTAAATATGTTGCACAAACTCTGGATTGAGGAACGAGAAACCCATAAACTCCGTTTGATCCAGATTCATCATAAAGAGTTTGTCTGTTGGGGTCAAGTCCGTTTTTTCAGAAGTGAATTGTTTGTCAAAATTACTTACATCTTTAGGATGTTTCTGAAAGCATAGAAAACAATAATGCAAGTCTAATCTATGGAATCTATGTCGTCGCTTTAAAAATCCTCTTTTATTTCTATTTGTGCAGATTTTTAAAGCAATAACGACTGTAACATTAAGAGAAAATAAAAAATAATATCGTAGCATTAATAAAAATATATCTTACGATCTTCGGTTTAAAAGGTGGTTGCACTTCGCGATTCTCGATCTTCTCCCAATCGATATGCCTAAAGAAGACATGACTACGAACATCTTCTCCGCCACGGAAACCGCAACCGAGCCTTCTACTTGGATTTTTCGTAAGAAACTGTTAAAAAGGAAAAAAAGAAAAGAAAAAGAAAAAAAATATTAAATATAAGAAGATAAAAGTAAATAAAGTGAAAGGAAAGGCGTAAAGTAATTGGAGAGAGAGAGAGAGAAAGAGAGAGAGAGAGAGAGAGAGAGAGAGAGAGAGAGAGAGAGAGAGAGAGAGAGAAAAGAATGATTAGAAAATCTTACTGCTTTGCAGACTTCTTTGGCTTCTTTGGACAAACTTTTCGGATAGCTAACGTTGTGATTTGTTATTGCAGCAAAAAGTTCTTCCTCGTCTTCACCATCAAATGGTGGCTGTCCGACGAGCATTTCATAGAGAAGTACGCCATATGCCCACCAATCCACAGACTTTCCATATGGTTGATATAAGATTATCTGAAATTGATATGTTAATTATTGATTATTATACATTGATGAATATTAAGGTTACGCTACGCTAACGTAAATGAATTCAAATTCACCTCCGGTGCTATATAATCTGGTGTACCGCAAAAAGTTTTAGCTGTTTTATCACCCGTTATTCCTTCTTTACACATTCCAAAATCTGCAATTTTTATATGTCCGTCCTGATCGAGTAATACATTGTCGAGCTTTAAATCGCGATACACGATGCCGCGACCATGTAAAAAAAACAGCCCGACGGCAATTTCTGAGGCATAAAATCTAGAAATACAAAAAGTTGATGTTTTAATCATCCATTGATCATAAAGTTTATATTCAACGTTAATATACGCTTTCAGAAGAAAGTTTTGAAAAGGAAAATGCATTCTTACTTTTTGCCTTACCTATTATCTTTGATTCGTTTCTTTTCGAAAATTAAAATATAAATACATTCAGAAAGAATTTATTAAATTTATGATTAGTTCACTTGAAAAAGAGAATTCAATATTTCACGGGAGAAATAATATAAAAAAAAGCCCTTGATAATATCTAAGAAAAAATTCTCATCGTCTTTTTTTAACACACAAATACTTTGGCATCACTATAATGTATCACTATAATGAAATTGATTTATAAATCGTATATGTAAAAAAATGTATACTCACACTGCTACTGGTTCTTTAAATTTGCCACACTGTTGAATCTGATACATTAAATCGCCACCATTTACATACTCCATGACAAAATACAGACGATCCTAAAACGGTAACAATCCGAGTTGAGAAGAAAGTTGAACTAACGTATTATAAATATAATATTTTTGCAATAACATTTGCTACAAGAAAGATATAACAGGTTGGGCGCTTTCTGTTGCATATGTTAAAGCTTTCCGAAAGCGTACCATAGTTTGAAAACAAGAATGTAATTGTACAAGAAAAGGAGGCTTGCTTGAAAGAGCGAGAACTCGCTTTTCAGCCATCGTGCATTCCACATCGTCATCTTGAATAATAATGTCTTTCTTAAGTATTTTTATGGCATATAACTCGTTAGTTCCTTTTCTTTCTGCTAACAGTACCTTTAAAATGTCGATCGAACCGATTAATTTCTTTTGGTACTATTTATATTTCGTAAAATATATTATCTAAAATATATTATCCGTGAATATACCTTCCCGAAGCTACCCTTTCCTAGAACCATAAGAAAATTAAAGTCCGATGCTCTTATTAAATCGCTCTTTCCCATATTGTGTGGTACATCTTTATCCTGTGTCGTTGGAGTCTTCTTCGTCACCGATGTTTTCTGCAAATGTACACACGCACGCACACGCACACGCACACGCACGCACACGCACGCACACACACACACACACACACACACACACATATTCTTATAATGGAATGGAAGAAAGAGAAACGTGTTTTTTATCATAAATATTATACCATATCATGCTAATTATCTTACTTATAGACGTTAATTCTACTCACTCGCATTTTACTTTTAAGTTCTGCCAGATCAACTCCCTCTTCGGGTACAGGTACGTTATAAAATTCCCCTTCTTCTTGAGTAAGAAGTTTAAACCAACCACTAGCAGGGGCTTTAATGAGTTCCGATATGCCGAAAGAAAGTGATCCCATGAAATCATTTCTAGAAGTCCGATCCCAATCCCAGACTTCGATTAACAACCGTCTATCTTTATCCTCTGGTTTAAGATCGCTGAAAAAAAAAAAAAGATAAATCTGTTTTATAAAAAAATCTGTACTTCCTTTAACTATTAATGTAAATACGAAGTAACGAAAGTAAGAAAAAAATTTAATAAAATGTTATTGTTTGTTTGTTATATTAAACTTTTAATAATGTCCAACAATGACGTATCATTTAATTGTCAGGTAAAATCACTCACAATATAATCGTTTCATTCCATTCAGGATTTAAAGATGACTTGATAGTTTTCGTTTTCTTCTTCACCGTATCCGAATCTGGAATCAATTTCAATTTCACGTAAGGATCCGAAAGACCATTGGGATCCATCGGAATGAGATTTCGTCCTTCCTTTACTGCAACAAAACGTTCAAAGTGTTATCAAGTAAATGGAAGTCCTTTGATTATATTATAGAAAACGATTATCATGATAGTGGGCGTGTGTGCGAGTGTATGTATACATACCTTCGACGGTCATCTTGCTACCGGAAACGGTGATGTAAAGATGTATACGACCACGTCTTTCGGTATGATCGCATCCACAAAGATTCGGGACGCTCTCTTCGCATCTCTTGTGTACGTTCATGTCGCATGCTAAGTCATCAGATCATTACGGATTATCATTTTGATCGATTTTATTTGTCATAGCTACAAGATCCATAGCCATGATTGCCACTTTCGTATAAAATGCATTTTATTTAACACCTAATTGATAACACGCCCGCGAATAATTTTCCTATAATTTATCATAATTACGATTGCCAATTAAGTACTTTTCACAAATTCCGTTTTATAACTCCGACTTATCTTTTGAATACTTTGTGTTACTTCCATATAATTGATTATTGAAATAATCAATCGTAAATGGAACGGCACCGCGCATATTCGAAATTACATGGACATAAATTTACAAAAAAGAAAATTCGATACACGGTTGAAAGATCATCTTTACAAATAATTGAAACGAATATATTATATGAGTTTGAATATGAGACCGTACGTATTTCTATGCATATAATATTGTTGTCTTACTTCTCCATGCGTATATTTCGATCGTCCTTATGCATGAATATATACCGTTACGCATGGAGTGCAAATGGAAAGAAAAATCTACAAGATGATAAAGATATTTTCCTAACTATGCATATAAATGTAAATCTAATTGCGGCTGGCAGCTCGTCGGTGATATCACGTAGATACAATGCAATAATATAAATCATAATGTCGCTAGAAGAAAGGGTTACCATCTATGTGCTTACAAGTGCCTATGAGTCTCTACGGTAATTATGAGCATGCATAAAAAAAAGAAGTGTACACTTGTATATTTCTACGTACAGTACAATTTATGAAGTAAGGTGGCTCGGTGAGGGCTATATTGTGCGCTCTTGGATACATCGAAACTACAAGACAATATCTCAAGTAATTACTTTTGAGTAAATATTTTATTCAAAGGAGGATAAACGTTAAGCATTTTTAATATATAATCTCAACGTAAGTTGTGCATACCATAGTAGCTCGACAAGTAAAAGTCGACAAGTCTGTCATAAAAAGATCATCTTCGTTGATCAGAGAACATCGAAGTTTTACGAATTAATAAAGTTCGATATAATCGAAGTAATAAATAACAAACAGGATATGAGAGAAAAAATGATTATAAAAGATTTTGTTTAACGGACTAAAAAGGACACGTCGTCTTTTAATATATTTTTCATCGATTTCGTCGTTTTTCTTTCATCGAATAAATATCCTCGTGAGTTTCGAAAAATGTACAACCTACTCGAGTTATTCCATAAGTCCCTCAAAAAAAAAAAAGAAAAAAAAAAAGAAAAAGAAACACGTTATAATCATATCTATTCTATAAATAAAAAAAAATGAATTTAAAACGACGTAATGAGCAAATTTATTCTAAAAAAATAGTTTCATTACACGATTATATAAATACATATTATTAACGGTGAAACAAATATGCAACGAATTTAAAAATTTTTGTTCTTCAAAATATTTAATTCCATTTACTTTCCTTACTCTATGTGTATAGGTGTGTATGTGTCTATATATAATCATCATAAGCCTACTCCGAAAGTTAAGCATACATTATATAAATACACTACTGTCGTATTTTTCAATAATCTTTTAAAGGCAACTTAATCTTCATTCGCGTTCCACAACTTATGAATGTCAAAGAACCTATTATAAACATTTCTATCGAATGATATTTCATGCGGATACTTCTGATACTTCAAAATTCATGGAACATAGTCATGCAGCTACATCGAGACATGGAAAGAAAAGAGAATAGATGTCGGGAAAATAAAGAGAGAGAGAGAGAGAGAGAGAGAGAGAGAGAGAGAGAAGTAGACAAACAGACAGACAGACAAACAGACAGAAGAGAGAGAGAGAGAGAGAGAGAGAGAGAGAGACAGGGATAGAAAACAGTCGACTTTGAGTAAACATCGGAACAAACAACTATATAGTGGAAAGACAAAGAAATGTAGAGAAACGATCTATCTAAATGTTGATACGTATACACTACACGGTCGAGACAAATTTTACGAGCATACTATTGGCAGAATAGCATAAGACTGCAAAGTTTTTGACAGTCTTTTTCGACATTTAAACAAAAAAAACTAAAATATACAACTCTTCTTATGGAAAATCGTAACCTTGCGATTCTATATCAAATAAAGAAGAATACTTACTACGTGATAAACGATAAAAGGATAATCGAGGAAAAAATTTTGATGAGATTACGTGCCATTTGTGTGTGTGGTGTTGAATCTTCTAAGACGAATTCTTTACTTCCTCCTATCCTTTTCGCGTTAAACGTGAAACTCGTCAAAAAAGCGAAACACACGAAACGAATTTAGGGTTCGCTTGAAAGTGCACGTAGCACAATGAAAGGAGCTTCATACGATCAGCAGCTTCAACGTCGTCCGATGTATCACACAGTTTTGCGAACAAGAATATAACTAACGGTAGGATAATAATTATATTTGTTAAAATAAATATAATTATTATAATAGGAATATTGTGTAAATTTCGATCTAATCCACATTTTTCTCTCATTTACCGATCTAAGGAGAGAAACACTATCCAGCGCAGGTTTCTTTAACGTTCAAACGAAGCTTACATATTTTACGAAGTTTACGTCGAACTCGAAGATGGATCGATCTCGAAGTTATTCTCCAAGTCAACGATTACATTGCAATTCGACGAAGAAAAAAAAGGGAAAAAAAACGCGAATTATATCTCGGAAGAAAGAGAAAAAGAAAAAAGAAAAGAAAAGAAAAGAAAAAAGGAGCGCAATTCGAGGGCGATCCCGATTAACCCGAGATCGATCCTTTTTCGAGCAAAACAGTCGCACGCGCCATATCATTTTTCCCCTATATAAAAACTACAGAACAGCGACATTCGGTCGCTTTTATGAGATCTTTCTTGAAACGAATAAATAATTCTGATTTGTCGTTTTTCATTATTTAACTACCTGAACACTTGAGTCCCTGATGCGAGATACCATGAAGCATCGAGCCGCAGTGGTCGCAGAAGGTCGGCGTCAGGTAAGTGAAAACCTCCCATTTGTGTGGGGCGCTCACCGCCTGGGAACAAGAAACAGGGGCCCAGAGAAGCCCGGTCCTTCATTGTGGTCTGATCCTGTGGGAGAGATCGAGAGACGGTGGTGTGCCGATCGATACCCAATAAAGTTCCTCTCGAGGTAACCCCTTCGTCTACGATGACTACTTGTTAGTGTAAGTCATCCCAAAAGCTCAGACAGAAGCAACAAAGGAACCAAGTTAACAAACAACTGCGTGATGATAGCGTGGCATCGACGATAGGGCTATAATAGGGCACTTTGTTTTGACGCGTAACGATAACGCAACGACTAATATAATCATCCTTATTCTCGTACTTTTTCATTTCGGCAAAGCAAACTATTGCAAAAAAAGAAATTAAGAAAAGAAAATGAAAATAGTATGTGTTATGACGCATGATCTCCAATTATGGATGCTTCGATTCGATATGTTACGACTTTGAGAAAAAGATTTTCTTTCATTTATGGCGATCGATAAAAGAAGACATTTTCTCTATCAAATCGAGTAACTAGTTCCATCCGATACTTTCGCTTACGATGGAATATGAACATTCGAATAGTTTCAAGGAAGCCCGGACGAATAAAGGGGATAATAAATAAACGAATGGAGAAGAAATTATGCGTAGCTTCGATTATCACGAAATCGATGGTAGATCTACACGATATTCCTAATAACGATCCATCCTGTATAATGTCTTATTTAAAGAGGATAAATTATAGACAGAAGAAAATTCTTGCTGAAATTCGAATTTCGAAGAAAGCTGCGATCTAAGGAGCGAAATTCCAAACGCTGCTTTAAGAAATGTAATGGTTAAGAAGTGCATTGCCAGCAGCATGCCTCGTCTTTCGACTGCAAACATATTTTTATTATCCTTTATATCTAATCTCTTTCTGTTATATAGATCGATTATTAATTACCTTTCCATAAGATGAATATACGAAAGGAACTATTAATCACGATATATTGTTAAAAAGAAAAGCATGGTTATCTCACGTACTCGTTTTAAAGGGCACATTTACAATCGTGGGTATCTCCAATTGAGATCTGGTCGGCCAAAGAAAATTTAAGAAAAGTAAAAGAGTGAGTCTATAGAGAGAGAGAGAGAGAGAGAGAGAGAGAGAGAGAGAGAGAGAGGGAGAGAGAGAGGGAGAGAGAGAGAAAGAAGAAGAGCTGTAAATTTGAATTTGTAAAGCAAGGGATGATTCACATTTAAAAAGAAAAAGAAAAGAAAAAAAAGAAGAAGAAGAAAAGGAAAAACAAGAAATAGAAAAAAAAGTAAAGATAAAATACATTACAGCCAGGGAATGCAATTAAAAAGGGAAAAGAGAAAAGAAAAAGAAACAGACCTCGAATAAAGACGAGGAGAAGGGTAGAAAGGAGAAAGACATCCAAGAAAGTTTACACGGCGGTCCGAAAGTGCTCCAATTAATGTAAAAATTGCGGACAATTTAAACGAGGCATGTAACGTACAACTGATTAAAAAGATACACGTATGTGTACACAATAATTCGAACATCAGAGACTAGAACACATTTACATATATATACAGAACGTAGTGACCGTGTACGTTGTGAGCTCGTCTATGCTGTGCTGTAAAATGAATTTTACATAGCGATTATATACAAGTCCAACCATAAGAGAAATATCTTTAATCCCATGTCTGTTAAAAGTATGAGAGAATTCTATTCTATACTACTCGATGCAACGATGCAATAACGATATTTATTGAATAAAACGAGAAAATGCAAAGTCTTTGATAGCTTTTTGTCATTTCTCGAATCCTACCTACATTACTACATATATCAGAATTTTGAGAGAAGGTACACAAAGCAATAAAAAATAAAACCATTTTAACCGTAGACTAAGCGCTCTATGATAAATACATATATATGTACGTATGTATGTGTACATGTGTACAAACATACACACGCGCGCGCATATATATGCATGTATAAATATGCATGTATGCATTTATGTAGATATGTACACTCAATAATACCGTGGAACAATGAGATCGTGCACGCGAATGTGGAAAAAAAGTGTAAGAAAATGAAAGAAAAATTATTTTTGTAAAGGAGAATTTGTAAAAAGAAACAAAATAAATGAATAAATAAATAAATAACCTTTCTTCGCAATACGGAGCGACACGCGAAGACACGATTTGTATTTCAAACTATGTATTGAAAATATTTTCAAATCTTTCTTTCCATCATCGTTGTCGCAGCAACAAAATTCTCCATTTTAAAAGTAAATTCAGAACGACATTATATCATAAAACATTTTACATTTATATGTGTGTATGTGTGATTTGATTTTACTTATCAGCAAATAAACGAGACTTCGTAAACGGGCAATCGGAGATGCTCCTTCTTCAGAATTGAAAGAATCATTGAATGCAATAATTTGTTCCAGAGAAAGAAGGTCGGGAAAAGAAGCGAAGAGAAATAATTATAGTTGGAAAGATAATGTAATATATATAGGTGCATTGCATCGTATCAATCATATACCTTTCATATTCGTTTCTAGCTTGTAAAAAATAATTTATTTATTTGATTAATTTCGCGTCTCCTTCCATGCGCGTGCACGATTCGTGAACACCTAAAAACTTATATAAAATATGGCAATGCACACCTTTCTTATATAAAGACGATGACGACAAGATACGTGTAAGTACTCACCGCATATTATTTGGAGGAAAAAATTTATTTACAAATAGAGGAATATTTAGAATAATAATAAGACGAAGTGAAGAAGAAGAAGAAATGAGATGATAGACAATTAAATGAAGATGAAGAAGAGTATACGCAGAAGAACGGTAATATAAGACGAAGACAAAGCAACACCACATATATGGTAGATCAAAACGATAAAAGTTGTGCGATTGGTGGTCGTATATATGTATATCTTCTTCGTGTGCCTGTGTGGTGAAAGTGCGTGTATCTCGTGTGGTCTTTCGCTTGATTTAATGATACCTTGGCATTTCATGCCCTGGTGGATGACACCATAGAGAAGACTACCGCAGTGGTCACAGAACGTGGGGCTGTTGTAGGTGTGTTGCTTGAATTGATGCTTCGTCCGCGTATCCTGCGTTATTACACCATTACATCGTGCACACGCACGCAGACTCTCGGATTATGACACAGATATTGCGATTTTGAATCACGAAATACGAATGTCATCTGATCGATGGATCTTTCCGGTCAAAATTGATAAATAGATTAACCGTCTAATCTCGATAAATTCAGATTTAAGATATCTAAATAGTCTACAACATTGTTAATAAAAACAGATTATTCAATGATACAAATAAATTCGCTTCGTACAAACCGATCAATTCTAAATAATTCAAATTTATATATGATGCTATATATTATATAGTTACATATATATGTAACTATATAATAAATAATGTATAATCTTATAAATTATTATTGGATGCGCTTTGATGATAACTAAATTAATTTCAAATTAACTCGTAAAGCTTTAATCAAAGGAGACTAAAGAAATAATGGGACCGAAATTAAACCCAATTTGAGGAACGCAGAAGAACGATCACACATCGGGATAGCATATTATGTAGTTTTAATGATAATTTCCGATCATGAAAAGAGAGTAGAGTAAAAGGAGTAACAATGAATCTATATTAATACCTATCGTTTATGTTTTTAGTCTTTCATAACAGGACTATATCCTAATCGTTTCTTCATTTAGCAAAAGCTCCTAACATTCCAATAGAATTATTATATCAGTGAGACTTATTTGTCAATCAAAAATATAAAAAGACTATGATTCGTTGGACTTGAACGATCGAATGCCAACTTCCTTTAGAGAATATATTAATACTCGAAAAAATATCTATTAATACTAATCATATCACTGAGTAATATGTATATTGAAATAACCATTAATCCTTATTGTATCGTAATAATATTGACGCGAGTAACGGAGAGATCCATGATCATCTGATGTAGAATGATCGATAGAGGAAAAACTGTTTGTCTTTGAAGCGCAAAAGCACGGAAAAATTGTTACCGAAAAGGAAAAAAAATAAGTATACATCGATTATAATTTCACTGAAAGAATCGAAAAGTTTTATGATACCATAGATTGTTTGCGGTTCGCTTATATCTACTTTATGTACAATTATCGTCAATTATTGTGTAAAAATAAAAATTTATTGATAAGAATTCGATTATTATCAAAAGTAACAAAACTCCTCTACTATTTCTTCATGATAACGAGAGATGCAATAAATATTCCTATCGAAAGGCCGTACGTTTTTATTTAATGTACGTTCTTAACAACGAGCCGAAAACATCTTGGTTTCCCACGAAAAATAGATATATTTTCTTGGCCGTACTTATTTGCAAAATTATTCAGCATTAGCGCGTTTGTGGTTTAAGCGTGGGTTAAACGAACAGCTGAAAACGCTTAGGCCAATCGTGCGCTGTGCAAGAAATGCTGAAGGATTTTAGCCACTGTTGCCCTCTCTCTCTCTCTCTCTCTCTCTCTCTCTCTCTCTCTCTCTCTCTCTCTCTCTATCTCTCTCTCCCTCTCTTTCTCTCTCTCTCTCTCTCACACTCTCTCTCTCTCTCTCTCTCTCTCTCATTCTCTCTCTCTCATTCTCTCTCTCTCTCTCTCCATCACTCTTCTTCATGGCCAACGATCTCATTTACACTTCTCATTACATCTCCATATCTTACCAATGCTAATGTCTTGCTAAATTGTATTATTTATCCTTTGACGAGATAAATCGTGATATTAGAAAAAAAATATTATAATTTTTAAAACTAATTTACTTTCGCGCATTCATAGATTGAAATTGTAATTTTTTGGCCAATTTAATAAATATCTTCTTTGCTAATTGACATTTATTTTTATTAAAATTTGTAATATTTATGAAAATTACGGATGCATAGTGCAAAAGAGTTTTTTCGTTAATCGCGTTCAAGTCTTGCATTACTTCTATTCGATTAAGCATTGTAACCTTGGCTTCGGATGAGAGCGAAGGAGAAAGACAAGGCGAATTATTTGAATAAAAGGAAAAAAAAAATATAAATATGAAAAAGAAATGGAAAATAAAAGTTTGACGTTAGATATGTATTGACACTCACGTCCGAGTCAGCTCCTTTGTCCGCTCCAGGACAGGTAAAGGTCACGTATTCGTGACATCGCTTGTGAACGACGAAACTACAGACTGAAACACAAGCAAAATGTGCCCAGAGGTCTTCCTCAAGATCACACCTGGCGAAGAGGTGGTCGGTGAGATCAGACTGACCCTCTTACCTTGGCACTGATATCCTTGCTTTCCGAAGCCCCTGAAACAAAACGAAAAAAAAGTATCGTATAAGGAAGAGAAATATTACGAATAAAATAACACCTGATATCGCTTATCAAAAATGATAAATATGCATAGATATATATGTGCATATACATAAATGACGCATCTGTCGGAGTTATCAATTAATGACCTATGCAATCAGAATTCATCTTGCTACATTTTTTCCGCCCGCTGTAAAAGAGAAAGCAGGAATCCTCCTCACCTCTTGAATTCTCAATTTTTCCCGATATAGCTAAAAGTACATTTACAACGTCAGCCTTTGTTTATAGGCTGTATAACAAGTGACGCCTCTGTGCTAGACCGTCGATTAAATCAGCTTCAACGAACAAATCAATATTTCAAGGTTTCTATATGACCGTTATGCATGATCGTTCAATATGTTTTTTCTTTTTTTTTTTTCTTTTTTTTTTTTTTTTTGTTTCAAATGCATAGAAAATTGACAGACGATTTTGTTCTTTTATATACAAGTAAAATACATACAGACGGTAAAAAATAATAATAATAATAATAATAATAATAATAATAATAATAATAATAATAATAATGAAGAGAAAAATAATTCAAGATAAATGAAAAAGGTAATGCAAGAAAGAACGAAAAAAAGGGATAAAAGATTGAAGAAGAAACCCAAGAAGAAGCTCAGAGAGATAATAAGAGACGGGTAAAAAAGAAGCGTGAGGAAAGTAGAATGAGAAAGAGAAAGAGAAAAAAAAAAATGAAAAGAAAAAAAAAACTGTGCAAATCTGTGATTAGCCTACATTACTTCAAAGCTTAAAGCGAAATATACATATATTTACTGCAATGGCACGTATGACAAATTGTATGACCCTATGTAAATCTTTGTAGATGTAAAGAAGAAAAAAAAGAAATGGACCATAGATATGTTTATATACAAACATTTGAGATTAGCAACGTATACCGTATATTAGCAATTATTTAATATGGCAAATGCATAGACAATATATGTATATATACTAATCGAGCTCATATTTTAGTGGAAGTACACATTACTCACGATAATACTTGGCAAATAAAAAAACATTTTCCGAATGAAAAATTCACTCTCTCCGTATTAATGATTTTGCATTTGATTAGCTACAATCTTTACAATCTTTTCACTTGCATATAATAGATACGACTACTACTGTTGTGCATTTTCGAATCGGTAAGAATACAAAGAGTACATTTCCGCATTTTATTCGCAGTCTAAAATTGCAATCAGCATAACTACACATTATATGAATATTTTTAATACAATTCTTTTAGGCTTTGTTGGAATATTTGTTTTAAAGTTCAGCCATAAAGGGAGAAAAAAAATGTTAATTCGAATACGTAGAAATTTGTAACTGATTTGACAATCAATCTAAAATTATATATCAACGATGATGCATCCTATTAGCATCCTATATCTTAATTCTTTTTAAAATTTCGTAATGAGTTTAAAAAGAAAAAAAAATCAAATTTCCATCATGATTATTTTCATCATCAACTTGTTGTCAAACGATTATCAGTTTAAAACTTTATATTACGTATATTTTCTTTTTTCTTTTTCTGACAAATTCAATTAGAATTGGTCTTGGCTTGGTTTTATTGACCGAATAAACAATAAAGTTTTAGAGTTTTAGAGTTTTATTTTGCTTACGATCGTTAGACAGAAATTTAAATAATCTTGTAATAATCTCGTTTAGAACTTGAAACATAATTGAAAAGTGTCATGTCTCACGAAATTTATAGCAGTCGAATGGTTTCGCAATACCGATTGCATAAGTCAGCCTCGCGTGGCGGTAGTGATCCTTAAAAACGATCGTAATTACGTCTCGCATTTAACAGCAAATTCAATTCCTCATTATTATCCGTATAACTAACTGGTGAATTACTAACTGGTTATATAAACGTAAGTACGTAAAGTCATCGATTTATCGAAGCATACGTTAATGTATAATATATTTCATATTGTAGACACTTATCTATACGATAAAGATAGAAAAAAGGAAGAAACAAACGAATAAGTTAAATCGTATAGATCCATTAGAATAATTATTCATACATGGAGAGTCGAAATAAATGACAAATCTAATACGCAAAATTTGAAGAGCACTTGCAATACGAAAGGTCATTCGCATTTCTCTTCGTCATTGATCGCAACGGGTTAATCGAGAAAGAAAAAGAAAAAGAAATAAGAGCAACCTTATGATACCTTGCCAAAACGTCTTATTAAATTATTTTTCCTCTTTAAAATATTTATCTTAACTAAGTATTGTCTAATGAAACCAAGTATAAAGTCGACACATTTATCTATATCTCTTCTCGCATAGCCAGGAAAAGTCTCTTTGTTTCAACCTAATTGGGTTAGCCTGGTTTTCATCGATTTCGAAGTCCCCGTTGCTTTCTATATAAAAACTCGGCAAAGAGGGTCGGCTTGCATAATGCAATGTGCACGTGTTCACATATATTCACATACTTGTACCCGCGACACGTGCATGTTTCGTGGTGTACGTTAATCGCCCAACGACGTAAAAGACACCAGTGTAATGTGATTTTTCAAATTTAAAGCACTGTTGCTCTCCTAAGGTATCCCGCTCGACCTTTTTCAATTTGTCTGCAAGATACGTCGGTGTACGACAAACATATATATATATATATATATATATATATATATATATATATATATATATATATTATCGAATCGTATTTTAAATTATTCTATTAACATTAAACGAAGATTAATTTTGTTATTCTCAATGATTCGGAGAATGTACTACGAGAAAATTAAATATAAATAAATAAAATATGTATTATATGGCTATAATATGCATATATAATATGTACGTACGATATATGTATATACGATAAGATGACTGAAGGAAATTAATGGAAATCATTTTTTGAATACTTTACATGCCTGAGTTTCGATTAGTAAAAGAAAAACGTCTACTGTCTTTCACAATAATAGAAAAGATATTAAAATGAAATGATCCACTTCATTTGAGAGGCAAAAAGGCTTCGCAATTCTTCGATCGTTTAAGCCCATCTCTACTGTATTTTTTTATCCTTCAGTATTAAATATCTCACGTATCTTAGGAATAAAGAACTAATTAAAGTGAAAGGAACGATCGACAGATGGCCGTTAAAAATTATTGAAAGTATATTGCTCCGAAGTATCTCACCTTACGATTTATCTTCGATTATTTCAATTAATCTTAATTTAAACTAAAAAAGAAAGAAAAGGGAGGAAGATCAGAGATAATCAAGATTTACAATATCTAGTTACTATCGTTATCTAGTTACTACCTAGCTACTATATAGTTTTTGAGGAACACTGCGTCAAATTTGATAATAACTCAGCTAATATAGAAAATATTCAATTATCATTGATCAGAATAGATAGACGGATGAAAATGTTTTTGCTACGAAATGAAACGTTAACGTCCTTACAATGTTCATGTTTTCTCATACTCGCATAAAGATCCAACGTAAAGAAATTTCTAATGCAACTTCAATAATAATTAATTCAAGAAGGAAGGAAAGAAACAGGCCTTTTTATCGTATCGTCCGGAAATAAGGACGTTAAAATGGCATACTCTCCTAGCTTCTACGTGTGTACATACATATATACATATACATATATATATATATATATATATATATATATATATATATGTTATATATATATATATGTATATATATATATATGTTGTACGTCGCGCGACAAGGCCGTCGTCTTTTCCTCGTGCTAGCAAGTGACGAATGAGCCAAGATACTATAAACTCGTGACGCATGTCGTTAGACCATTCGACTTCCTTATAAATCATATTTAAAAACCACAAAATTCGATAACGTATGTTCGATATTATACGCGCGAAGGAAAAAGTCTCAAAAATTAAATCACGTAGTCAGGCAGTAGTTTTTTTACCTATCTTGAAAGCAGAAATCAAATCGGTCGATTATAACGATAAATGAAAGATAAGTAGAAAAATATATGATTCTACTCGGTCATTCGTTTCATTACTTTTTTATCCTCAACGGACACAGGTATTGCTTTTGTTCACTCTCGGATCTATATTCCTTCTTCTTTAGAATGAGCTACTTGATTTTATATTTGAAAGATCCTTTCTACCGGTGACTATTAAATTCGATGAGACCGAAGAATCTCGATCAAATTTCAACATGCTTCATCAGAAACTTAATTTCAAATTAAAATAAATAATGACTAACTACTTTTCGGTATTTAATGGTATCATTTTCCAATCCAATTAAATGATCGGCAAAAAGAATTAAGGAATAGACATATATATAGATAGATAGATAGATAGATAGATAGATAGATAGATAGATAGATAGATAGATGGATATGAATATATAGTTCGACCGAGAAAGATTCTTTTTAGTTGAGGATAATTGTTCTTCTAAAACTGTGACGTGTGTTTATTTCAAGAAAAAAAAATGTCGACTATAAATGCCTGTTAATATCCTTATGTGATGTGAATTAAAAGAAGTCGCTCGTTCGATATCATCAAACAGAACGATATGAATCAAACGATACCCCTGGATTCACCATGCTGTCGGTGCACAGTCGATCCGTTTAATCCCGGAGCGATGTGTCGATATCGAGGTGCAAGAATGCGATTGGTCGATACCAGTGTTTTTTTTTCTTTTCTAATTAAATAAACGATAAAAAATGTTATGGATGACGCACGATTGACATTGATTATATCATAAGGTATTTATTACAGTTAAAATAACACTCGGAAAAATTTTAAAGATAGTCGATCTAATAGTAAGAACTGACCATACATGAAAGACAATTAGCGATTAGCGCTTAAGAAACGGCCTAATTTGCATAGGGTACTATTTAAAAAGGGAAAATAACACGAAAGGTGGAAGAATATATATATGTATATCATGTGCAACTATTATATCATAAGTATACGCGTAAATATATGTTTATAAATACATATATCTGTGGAAAAAAAGAAAGAAAAGAAAAAAAGAAACCTCTTTCCAAAAATCGAAAATGCGATATCCAGATTATTTGTACTAATAAAAAATGCAAAAAAAAGATTTCAACTTACCATATAAAGTCCTTGCAATGGCTGCAGAATGTGGGTTGTTTGAAGAAACGTGGCATAAAGCTATGATTTTTAACCATGTATACATTTTTCTTCTTGAGTGCTCCTTTCCGGCCCCGTAGTTTCTTGGCAAAAGCAGTGGTGGTATCACCAGGACCGAGAGAATCCTCGCACGTGTTATTCGTTTCTTGTTCCTCCGCCATGGCGACGTCTTATCGCGAACGCGATAGATTTGGACCGACGGGGGTCTTAGGCAGACCCTCGCGGTTATCGCAATTTCTCTTCCGCCTCTTTACTCCCCTTCTCCTCCTCTGCTTCCTTAGCCTTCTTTTCGAATCTGGCTAAGTCCTTCCTAACTCGTTTTTTCGTACTTCACTTCTTTTCTTTCTTCTATTACTGGAAGAGTCGCTCGAAAGCAATATAATCGGGTCGCAGCAGCCTCGATATCGTTCGTACCAAGAGACAGAACGTAAAGCGAGAGAACTCGCACGATGGGTGGTAGGTAGGCTACTCCGCGCGCGCGGTATAAGCCCGTGCCACGACGTCGACCTACCTCGCTTTGCCTCTCTCTCTCTCTCTCTCTTTGCTCCTCCTCACCCCCTTCGGCTTGCTCGTTCGTTCGTTCGTTCGTTCGTTCGTTCGTTCGTTCGTTCGTTCGTCCGTCCGTCCGTCCGTTCGCTTACTCGTTTCTTCCTCTCTCCCACCTCTTCTCCCGATCAACGTGCCTTTTTATTTCAACTTCGTAGCACGTTCTTCTGTCCGTTCGTCTATTTGTCCAATGGATCAACTATTGCTCAACTCCGTACTTTCTTTCTCTCGCCTTTATACTCCTCTATTCTTCTGACAATAACCGTTCTTTTTCTATTAACCGTACCTTTGATCTTTCTTTCTCTTTCCAATCTCTTCTCGCGTTTATCACATTCTCCCTCTCTCTCTCTCTCTCTCTCTTTCTCTTCTTCTTTCTGGTTCCACCTCTCGATTACCCTTCCTCTCTTCTATCGTGGACCGCCCGATAATTTTAGATTCTCGGCGCAGTGACTCGGAGCTGCCACTGCTCAGCCTGTGCCGCGCACTCGAATATCGACATCCAACGACTATGAGGAGTAAGGCTACGAAAGCAACACTGAACAAGAACGAACAGACGAGCGAGACTGCAAACGAGTGAACGTAATCCGCTTTCCAACCGTATTCTCCTCCTTTCTATCTTCCTCTTTTCCTTCCTCCTTTCCCTTCTTTCCCATTATCGCCCCTTTATCCTTTCTATTCGGCGTCTAATATTCTTATTTCTCCCAACGTTCCTTCTTTCTTCCTTATTTTTGACTCTGTCCCTGCTCTAAAAAGAAAGTACTCTATTTATATTTATATATATATATGCATGTGTGTATATAAAGAGAGAGAAATAACCTTTTACGCCTTTCTTCTTTTCTTCTAGTAAATTCGAGCATGAAAAATTTCTGAAAAAGAATACATTTTTAAATCAATAGAAAATCATCGAAAGAAAGAAATCCTCCTACTATCCCTTCTTTTCAGGTTGCTCGACCGGAAAGAATTATAGCTAGAGTTATGACGCTCGGGTCAATAATACCTACCCTAGGGCTATTTTTAATAACACGAACGTGCGCGGTGTTCTTACGCGCTTGTGCTTATGCCTAACCATCGATTCTTTGCGCTTTAAGGATCACGGAAACATGAAACCAATAAAGTGTGATCGATCGCGAAAGATGCAATATTTTTTTATCCTTTTGTGTAATTTCATGATTGGAAATATTTTTATAATCGGAAAATTATTCGTACCTGTTTAAAAAGCATTGTCATGTACGATGATTGAATGAAAAAAAATAGAACCGACGATAGGATACAAAACTTTTTTTTATACGATCGATGAATTTCCTTACGTTTCAACCATCTCCCCGATTTATATCATTCAGCGGATGAAAAAGTAGATAAAACATACGGCTTGGTATTTGTAGTAAAGGCTTCTGTTTAATATTACAGCGCCAACGTATACATACTATACAATATGAATCATAAAATCTATGTTAAATTGTATTTGTAACGCTAGATGGCGCGTCGTCTTAATGGGTGTCGTCCAAGTCAAATTAGTAAATTCAAAGACGCTGTACATGCATTCGTTTTATCTTGCAGTTTAACTTTTGATTTTAAAAGTAATCAACAAAATGTGGTATTCATTCAAAATCTCGTACATAATTCTCGTTATCTTGTCTAATCCGATTAGTGAGTATTCATAAAATAATCTATTAATGGGCTATCATTATTTTAATATAATAAACATTATTATAGGTCACGCCCTGGAATGTTACGTTTGCACGAATCAGGCCGATAATGAAGACAAATGCTTAAAAAGCATAAAAATATGTGAACAGGGAGAGGATGTATGTTTAACTGAAATCAAGTGGGGCAGTGAGTTTTCCTAAGTTTCTTAGTTTTATCCGGATAGAGGTTATGTTACAACGACTCACATCCTATCTTTCACAGGTACACCGTATTGGTCGCAAGGTGCAAAGAAACAATTTTATATTTCCAAAAGGTGTTCGACGAAAGTAGAATGCGAAAGAATAAGACGCAATAACATGCCATTGTGTACTCATATTTGGTATCAAGATTGGAAATGTTCGGAATGTTGTCACGGAGACAAATGCAACTATTATATCATTGTAAGTATAACTTACGCTATATATGTGTATATGTAGAAACACACACGCGCGATTATTCATCCTAATCTTGAAAGACGATGTTATCTTATAATTACTTTTTTGTCCGCTCCATCGATTTAGTCAGATGCAAGCAAAGTAAGAGCTACTGTTGGAAGTATCATCTTGGCATTACTTTCCGTCTTTCTACTTGGTAGATAAAATTGATTATCGTATTAAACATTGCTTCCATTTATTGGAACATGTAGTATTACTCAATATCGAAGACACGAATCCATTATACGTCGAATGGAACGTGACAGATGTCTGTATCGTTTCAATGGCATCTCTTTGTCGGAAGGCAACGATGTAATATATTTAACATTTTATAGAAACGTTAATTAGTTAATAAGTATATTTTTATAACATTTTATAGGAACGTGTGAACACTTACAATACAAATGTTTTGTACAAATAAGTTTTGCATAGAAGAAAGTCCGTCCATAACTTAGACTATTTATAAATTCATTATATTAGATAATAAGTATTTTTTATATAGCTTTAATACATAATTGTCCAAGCATTTCGTATTTATTCGATCATCCGAGAAACATATATATATATATATATATATATATATATATATATGTGTGTGCACACACACACGCACGCGCGCGCGCGCGCGCGCACTCACAGACACAAAAGGTACTCATACCGCATGTGAATTATTTTTATAAGAGAGTAGAGATATACTTACTTTATGAAATGTTACTTTCCATAGAAATATTTCATGTAATTTTATATACATACATGCATACATGCATACATGCATACATACATACATACGTATATGTATATTTGAACGCGCGTGCACATACGCGAACATTTGTTCGTATGTACAATGCATATAATTCCCGTCCACTTTGTTATTTTAATAAAGATCTTTTATTCAGAATATCCGTTATTCCTTTTATAGATGAATAGACTTATATGATACCTTTATGAAAATTAGGAAGAGACGATCGAATTTTATTCGATCATAAATTATTTTACATGTATTCCAAAGTGCAATATCAAAATCATAATTATAATTTTAACAATAAGTAATTCCCCGAAATGACAAAGTCAATCGTACGAAACGTGTGTGAGAACAATATTAAAAAAAAAACGTTATCGATTTATCCTCTTTATGATCCAATCGTATATCATACTTGTCTTATTGGGGATAATCTGCCCATATCTTTTGAGATAAGACGGAAGAAAAATAGTTATATATTTGGTAAAACAGTCCTTATAATCGATAGTTGATATAATTGTCCCAGAGTAGAATTGTTTCAGAGTATCAGAAGCTGACAACAGAGCTCGAAGCTCTTCTTTGGGTGAGTTTATACAGTATTTCTTTTCTTCGTGCGTAAAAACGTTTTCAAATGACAAAATAAATGATTAGAGAATAGAGATTGATTAACTGAATAACGAAAAGTTAGCTTGTTGGAAAAACGCATTGAAAAAGATCCTTTGATTTCGTGGCAAATCTTCTTTAATCATTTTCTGATATATTCGTCAATTGATATTTGTTATATCACAAATTCGTCTTACATAAATACATCGAAAATATGAAAGATTTAAATAAAAAAAGTAATATCTCTCGTTCGCCTGTCAACGTTTGACCAAACGTTGCATCATTTAGTGTTTACAATAAAATTCGATAAAAATCCCCTTTTTCTAGTGTTATTGATATAAAATGCAGAATATTGTTACAACGAAAAAAAAAAAGAATGAGTATACATCCAGTGATCGTATCGATTATCGTATTGATTATCGTAGAAATATGTCGATCCCTTATCATCAACAGGTAACAATAACCGAAATAATCTGATATTTAGATAACCATTACCAGAGATTGTCAGACAAGACAAAGCGAAAGAAACGAAAATAAGATATAAAAACTCAATTACTCTACTTATTTGAGATTTGAGAAGTATATTCCAAGGAAATATATACTTAGACATGCAAATGCATATCGTTGCAAAATAAGTCTTATGAAACGGGAGAGAAAAAAAGGAAGGAAAAAAATGAATTCGAGCAGAATGAAATGTTATATTAATTACGTTATCTATTCGCTTGTAAATAGATAAATGAAAGCTTCATATCATTGTAAACTCGTGACACAGTATAGTCTCGTGCTAATATTCCATCGAAAAAACGATCGCGATCGAGAATGATTCGATATAAAAGATTTATTTATAAGCAAGGCCTATGTTGTTAAGAAATAATTCGACCAATTGAAAGATTTAAAGTATCGGCATTAGGCACGACGAGCGTTGCGCACGATTTAACGAGCATTATTTCAATTAACGCTTCATATGTTAGTCTCGTGGCAGACGCGAATCGATAGAAACGCTAACGTAATTCGATCCTAAGATTCGTTCGTAAGACCCAGTTCGTAGGCCAAAATGGATTATATATTGATGAACGTTTTACCGGTAAGTAAAACGTTTACTCACTTGGTTTTTATTCGTAAATAAAAATTGTTTCATTAGAATTAATTCGAAAAGACGCGAGCTCGAAGACTCGAGACGAGTTCCAATTGCTTCATCGATCGATGGGAAGATGATCAATTTTTTTTGCATGCACGCGCATGTTCGATATCATCTCATAAAGGGGAAAAGAAAAAAAAAAAAGTCATAACTTTTTACAGTTACTCGATATGAAATTATGGAATTTCCGTAGTCTATACAAAGCCTTCAGTCGAAAGAAGCGGATAAATATTAATGCAAATACGAAATTGGAGAGATGCCTATCAACGTTGGACCTTACAGCTCTGGGTATCGGATCCACTCTTGGCGTTGGAATTTACGTCATGGCAGGATCAGTCTCAAAAAATATCGCAGGACCCGCCGTTGTAATCTCCTTCCTAATTGCAGCCGTGGCATCGATATTTGCCGGTCATTGGGCGTTTGCCAATCGCTTTATCATTATGTCGTTCTAATCGCCAAAGCTGAAACTTTAGTTTCGCTTGATCCTTCGATCGATATTATAAATATATATTTTCAGGTCTTTGTTACGCTGAATTCGGGGCTAGGGTGCCGCGAGCTGGTTCCGCTTATGTTTATAGTTACGTGACAATGGGTGAATTCGTCGCCTTTCTAATAGGTTGGACGCTAATCTTAGAGTATATGATCGGTTCGGCTAGCGTGGTACGTGGGCTTAGCACCTACGTCGATGCTCTCTTCAACAATAGCATGAGAAATGCCTTTGAATCGGCCGCTCATATAGAAGTTGAACACTTCTCTTCTTATCCTGATTTCTTCGCCTTCGGTATCACCCTTATGTTTTCCGGTAACTATTCCGATACTATTATTAATGAAAGAAAAAAGAAAAAAAAAAAGGAAAAAAAAAGTACAAAAGTTTATACATAAATAATTTATTATCGCACTTATTATATATTCATATGTCACTTTTCACAGCTGCCTTAGCGTTTGGCGCCAAAGAGTCGTCCACTGCAAATAACTTTTTCACCTTGGTGAATCTCTTCGTCGTCCTCTTCGTGATAATTGCTGGTTCCATCAAAGGTAATATCGTATATCGTCATTGGCAATCTATTACACAATTATGTTCTTCCTTTTTGCTTTTTCTCTTTTTTTGTTTTCCTAAAATCTCTCTTTGATCGCATAATTTTGATCAATGCGTATTTATATTGATTCAAAGCTGACGTTAACAATTGGAAAACTCGGCCTCCTTGTACGGAAACAAATTGTGATCGCGGAACAGGCGGATTCGCGCCATATGGAATATCGGGTATAATAACCGGAGCGGCAACTTGTTTCTATGGCTTTATCGGCTTCGATTGTGTGGCCACTACCGGCGAAGAGGCGAAAGATCCGCAAAGATCTATTCCCATAGCTATTGTTGCTTCTTTAACCGTTGTATTCCTCGCGTATTTCGGCGTCTCAGCCGTATTAACTATGGTGCTCCCATATTACGAACAAAATCCCGATGCTCCCTTTCCACATCTCTTTGAGGTGATCGGTTGGGACTGGGCAAAATGGGTAGTGAGCGTCGGTGCGATTTGCGGACTATGCGCTAGGTAAAGACGATAGGATATGTACGTACGTACGTTAATTTATACCTATGTATATACTCACGCGTATAAATTAATCATATAATTGCAGCTTATTAGGCGCAATGTTTCCATTACCAAGAATAATTTACGCAATGGCATCCGACGGATTGATATTTAAATGGATGGGAAAGGTAAGTTCAAGATTTCATACACCCATAATGGGCACTTTCTCTGCAGGAATTCTTACAGGTACGAAAACTATTTTCTTTATTTTCTTTTTCGTACCTTGTAATCTATTAAAACACCATTCTTTCCCTCTGTCGCTCTCTCTCTCTCTCTCTCTCTCTCTCTCTCCCCCCCTCTTTCAGGAGTTTTAGCAGCGATATTCGAGCTTACTCAGTTGTTAAATATGATGAGTATAGGCACACTGCTTGCCTATTCGATAGTTGCTGCCTGCGTTCTTATATTACGGTAAGAAAATATACGTATTACATATAAGGATTTCGATTTAATATATTTTGCAATAGAATGCGCTGTAAGTAATGACCATAGTAAACAAGTTTAACGACAAATTTTTCTTCACGAAGATACGAAGAAAGTGAAGCATACGAGAAGAAGGGCGATTGTGATCCAAGGACTGTAACGTTTGTAATTAAGCAACTAATTAATGCTAACAGATTAGACTATCCTACGAAATTAACTGGACAACTGGTGACTTGCCTCGTTTTCTGTTACTGTAATATTTCATTCCATCGGCGTGAGTATTTCTCTAATGTGATAGTAACATAACGATGATCCTAATTACAGTCATTATTTGCATTTTTATTACGGCGATGATATCGCAATTTTCCAAAGAAATCGCTAATGGCAAAGCTCTTTACGTTGTACCGATAATCATATTGGTCACCGCATTAATCTTTACTCTAATCTTTATCTATCTTCAACCTTCATCGGGCAGGAAACTTGCGTTTTCGGTACGTTACATTTTTTATATCTGTCACATTTTTCTTTGCTGTTCGGTAACCATGCGACAATATATCATGACACACTTCTGCCTTAGGTACCTTTTGTTCCCTTTTTACCAGCAATCAGTATACTTATTAACATTTACCTTATGATGATGTTGGATTCGATGACTTGGATACGATTCTTGATATGGATGATTATTGGTAATACACTCACGCACACTTATGTATGTATGTACGAACGCATGTGTATATATATATATATATATATATATAAAACATGTTTCATACAGGTCTTGTAATATACTTCTTCTACGGTATGTGGAACAGTAGCAATAGAGAGAAAAAATCATCCAAACCAGTGGAAAATTGCTCCAATGAGGAAGAATGAAAAAATAATAATTTTACTCTAGAATTAGATGATTCTATCGGCGAACATGCCATCTACGTTTTTATTAATTATTGGGTGCTAAAGAAAAATTGGTCGGATTGTTGAGAAAGAAAAAAGAAAAATTTATTTCACTTACAATAATGAATAATCTAATGTAGGCGTGTGAAGAAAAAAAAGGAATTCTTTGGGTACTTTCAATTTTTCTAAAAGAGTATAATCTTTCTAAATTCTTCTTCGTTGACTAAAGCTAATCGCTCGTCTCCGGTCCTTCTTGGACCGGAAGAAATATCGATATTCTCGAATGTTTCGAGCAGATCAGTCTTTTCTCGGAAACGTCGCACCACATAGGGACTATGTGCCCTAGCCATTTGATTTGACAAATATTTATTTATTACACAAAAATGTTTCGTGCGATTGCCACTCGGATTTTTCTATATTCACGACCAATGATCGAACATAAATCGGACAGAATGAAACAAAGGTATTAAAAGCAACAATGTTGTATTCAAGTTTGTGGATCAAGTTGGCGGACGGACTGCTTAAACTCTAGTTATTTTTTTGCATTATTCAGCAGTGCACCAGTACTGATCCAATACCAATTATCCATTGTCGAGACTATGCATTATCGTTCTTAGTCTACGCAAAAAACAATTTTCAATTATAATTATGATCTCGATAGTCATAAAAGAAACGAGAAAAGTAAATAAAATATCCGTTTATCGGGTTTAATTAAACTTGTATAGATGTACGATAATCAATAGAAATGATTAAAAAAAAGAAATTAAAAAACAGTTTTTCAAAGAGTTATCATAACATGTTATTGTCATACATCTTATCGGAAAACGAGAACTTGCATTAACCAACTATCGTTAAAAATATAAGAGGATACATTTATAACTGAGATACTTGATCGTCGGACAAAATGTCGTCCGCGTGTGGAATACTTTTGTAATAAGTGTACATCAGATTTTGTTTCTTAATAGGTGACTGTTGCCTTACGCCATATCTGAAATTAACATGAAAAAAAAAAAAAAAAGAAAAAAAGAAACAAATTGTTTTTCCAACTTTTTCAATGCTCTAAAATCTAATCTTTAATAAATATATACTTTTAACGATCTTACTGTTTCCTACGTTCATCCGATTGTGATACGGCAGCATTGTTCCTATCCGTTTTTTGCAGATCGGTTAATCTATGTGCCCGTACATCAACTCGCTGTTGTAAATTAGTAGTAGGTAATGACTGTACGATAAAATGATACACGTTTAAAAATGAAAATATTACTTACACATAGATGTGTATTATGAAGCAACAACGATCTTTTGTTAAACCAAATATACGATATTATAATTATTTATATTACATACCACGATATTTTCATCTTCCGACGCATCTTTTTGTCTAGAGATTTTAAGATCGTTAGATCGATCGCACATCTTTTCTTTCGCTTGCTAGAAAATATTATTAGATCATTGATTTAAACAGCTGCCAGAAAGGAGACATGCATGTTGAATGGGAGAAATATTTTCACCAATTGAATGAATATATATGCAAGTAGAGAAACTATTATGTATGTCGATATTTAAATATCAACTTATTCGTAAAATGTATTTTACCATTTTCTTTTTTTTTTTTTTTTTCTAAAATTAAAAATCACATTATATCTTTTGATACATGTGCAGGTGCCGTATAATTACGACGTGCTCTTATTGCTTTTGTATTTGCAGAATTCTCATTAGCTTTATTACTTTCTCGAAAATTGTACGGAATATGGATTTTGAAAGTGTTCTTCATAAGGAATGACGTTTAAAAAGAAATTGTCATACCAATTTGTTGCTTGTATTTTCAGCCAATCGATCTATAGAATACTTCGGAGAACGACCCGTTGTGTAGACTATTTCGTTATCTCTAAAAGCAACGCGCTCTCCTAAATATTTAATGACATAATTAAATCGATAGGATGCACGATATAGTATTTATTTTTAAAATAGCATTTAAAGTAAAAATACTTCTCTACCGGTCCAATAACTCAATGGTGGAAATATCCTACGTCCTCTTGAACTTGTAGGTACATTCAATATATCTATCATTTCATTTCCTACCTTTGTTACCGTTTCCCTTGCATTAGCTTAACAAGAATTAATGATAATACATGAGAAGTAATAGATTATCGCACGAGGAGATAAGTAATAAACCGTTATAATACCTTTTTGATATGATTTCCACATTTTGCAAAATTCGTTTATATTAAATGGGCATCCTTCGCGGCAATATCTCAGTAATTCTTTCGGTACAACTAAATATAATTATATATTTTGTTATATACGATTTATAGAACGTAAACATTATCGTATATTGAAATGCGCGTAATGTGTTACCGTGTTTAGAATCGTGCAGATCTCCGACGAGTCGATAAACTTCTCGATTTATATCTTCGATTAAATTTGTCGATAGCCGTTTTCGTATAAGTTCAGTCGTAAATTTTCTATGAACCACGTGGCCGGCCTCGCTACGTAAATCAAAATGATATAAGTCACAGATCGATTTATTAAACGTAATGCATTCTTACTTACTTACTTACTTGAGCAATTTACCTTCAAAAACCAAACTTAACTCGGAAACGGGATTAAAGTCAAATAAAACCCTTGGTACCCAATCGGACAATAGTTGAGGTTTCCTTGCGCTTAAAAATTCATCGTTCGATGTGTGCACCGAACGACGAGTAGATGTCGAATTTAATATTAAAAAGGGCGTATCCGTGTCAAGGGTAATAGGATGTTTTGCATTTTCAGGATGAATATCATGAACTCTTTGAATTTGATGGTCTTTCGAGTCACCCTTATGTTCACCAATAATCAAACAAACGTCGGTTATAATATCTCTGCACAAAGTTGATTCATCCATCATATTTTTATTCTGCTGCTCTTTTGTATTAGTTGAAACGGGCATAAGTTCCGATTTATCATTGGTCGCATCTTTATTTGGATTTATATCAAGAGTATGACTTTTTACAATGGGCAAAGGTGTTGACGTTACGTTCTGCTTTTGTTTCAACGGCATCATTTTATTATTGGTACCGTTCTCACTAGTATTATGAATTACATTAATATGATTCGCATCGACAAGGGTATTTATTGTTTTAGCTTTTTTCCCACTTGGTTCTATGTTCTCCGTCATATTCAAATGTCTCTTACGTCTAAATTCCGACAATTTGATTTCATCTTCCGCAATGGAATTTTCGCAATAACGATTATTTTTAAAACCATCCTCTTTTCCCCGATCGGACAGTGCAACACGATACATAACATTATCTCCTTTTCTCCTTTCCTTATATCGCATTTCTCCTTTCTTGGATAATGATAGAGAATGTGCCGAATCGTGATTTTCCATCTCATCATTTTCAATAATTCTATTGGTAATAGAATTAGAACGGTATATTGGTCGACTTCTTTTTACGATTTTTCGCAATTTTACATGACTATTATTTACAGAATTATAATTTCTACCTTCTCTTCTCTCCTCATGTTCATGTCGCCATTTAACTGACAATCTTTCATTCGGTAATAATGTTCTTTCAGATATGACAGCCGCATAAGTTTCATTTGCAAATTCTTCAGAGTCCTTTTTAGGCGATCGTTGTAAAGTCATATCAGATGTCTCCTCATAGGCATCTTCCATGTTGCACCTATTGCGATCGGTGCAACAATCCTTTAAAGCTAACGTATCATGACATTCCACAATATAAGATCTTCTTTCCGAATTACCTATTACTTCATTACCTTGTATTTGGTTGCCACAGAATGTAGACTTGTTATCACCATGGTATGGACCATTATTATTGATCTTTTTACTTGTATCATTTGATGTCACTCTATAGAGATAAACATCATTGAGAGAATCAAACATTTGTATTATTTTAATAATATATTCTTTTGGGCAATCCTTATGCAGTAAATTATTAACGATAACATCAATTTTATCTTTCTGCATATCTCTCGTTTTATCGTCTTTCTGAAGAAGAGACAATCGACGTATATTCACATTTTCATTCTGACATTGATTTTCTTTATAATTATGTGGTTCCTTTGTCATCAAGCTAGGAGCGTATACGTTATTAACCATTTTAGTTCGATCCTTCCAATTATTACCGCATAAACTGTTAAAAGATATTTGAAAATTAGAGACATTTGGCATTTGTACAGTTGAAATAACTGTGCCTGACTCGTTAAACTTCGGTACATCTTCTTCGTTCGTACGTTCAAATGTTACATCGGACATTTTGCTATTCGCGTCATTATCGTTATCGGTAATTTCGATTGGCCAATGAAAGTTTGAATTCGAGCCCTTGGAAATAAATAATTTCCATACTTGAAGTACATTTTCCCAATCATCGGGAAAACCATTGAAGAATTTCTCTCGGACGTATTCTGGTAACTCTAAATAAATGAAAAAATAGTGGACCTATCATAAAGATAAAATAATTATTTAATAATTAATCCAAACTTGGTAAAAAAATTCTTCTTACCGTTTCTATTGTCCACAATATTCCCTTTAAGATGATATATTTGTTTAAAAATAGATTCTAAGCTTCTAGCCGTCAATCTATTAAGTATGGGCTTAGTACGTGCGATTTTCCCGCTATGAAAAGTAAATGCGGAGAAGGAGAAGAAGAAGAAGAAGAAGAAGAAGAAGAAGAAGAAGAAGAAGAATGAAAAAGCATTACAGATAAGATATTAGAGATATTTGAAAATTACCTTTCTAATGTTCCCTTAATAAGTAAGTGACCATTTTCATTTAAAATAACTCTCCAATTAAAAAATGTTCTATTTGATCTTTCCTCGGGGCTTCTAATAATGCCTACTTCAGGACGGCCAAAGTTATTATTATCGCCTTTGTTTCTCTTTGCACTGTCTTTTTGCGATTTAAGAAAATAGACATTATCAAAACCGCCTCCCTTATTTCCCGGTAATGACAAATATTTTTCCGTCGCAGACAAATTCTCATTAATCAATAATGTTTCGCCATTGAAGGAATCTTTTTTCTTTAAAGATCGTTCGTTACTTGAGGATGTAATTATTGGTTTATTTATAGTACGTCTATTTTTTTTCTTTGCCACGATATTTCTTAAATTGTTACTAGAGGAGACAACTTCATTTTCTATCCGAGATGATTGCAAAAACAATCCGGTGCAATTCATATCTTGCGTATCTGCTGGATTGATGCTGGATATACTAGTATATATAGAGGCTGTGGCTACTTGACTGTATTTTCCTCTTATATCATCCTCTTTCCTCTGTAAAGCAAATTTCAAAGAATGATTCCAACATTTTGTAACGTTCGTCTTTTTAAAATTTGCAAATTTCACTCGAATAGATGGGGAAAAAACGCGCACGCATCTTTATGCACATTATCTATTATATTGAGACACAAACAAAAACATATTAATTATGTAAGATATGCAAAACTTATGATTTAAACAATATGACATTTAATACGTCTAAATGAACGTTCATTCGTTAATATTTAAAACTTACCTCCATTGTGTCATGCGCCAACCAACAAAATTTTTGCTTGCGTTCAAAAATATTTCATTTTGCATATTTTACATTGAACAGTAGAAATAACTTTAATTTACATAGCCGTATATAAACACAAGTTTCCTTTCTTTTCTTTATTTTCAATAACTCTTCAACTAGCTTTCTACAATATTACTACTACTCATAATTTTTGAAAAATAAAATCTCCAATTTGATCATCCAACAATATAATAAATACCGCGCAGAGACTATAAGAATCTAATTATTATTCCAACGAGACAACTGACCGTTTGAAAAGTAAGAAAACCAGTGTAGCAAAGTGAGAAAACGTTGCGTTGTCAGCGTCGCCAACTCCTGACATGCTCCGAAAAACATTTCAATGGGATATTTACTGAGTTACTAGCATCGTTTAAATAGTTATTTTTTGCCTCAAGTACATTCCTATAAATAAGTCACGTTAATTTAAGAAGCATTTTTGCCCCTTACCAATCGAGAATTACGCATCTTGACGATGTTGTTCTTCTAATGAATCGATTTTTCAAATCGATCCAAAATATTAGTCTATCATTTCGATATATTGAGAATCGCGTCTCAGAAGATCGATCTTCGAGAGATCGATTTGAAATTAATATACCTTTGTCGAGGACAAACGTTTTTTATAACGTTTTAATATTATAACGCAAACGTTTATTAAAAAGTTACTTTGACGAAAAGCAGAGAAAAATTTCACTGATATGTCCACTGGTATATAGCTCCCCTTTCTACGCATACACTTGAAAAACGAATACTAAACTTATGAAAATAATGCTTGAACATGTTACTTATCTATTTTCTTTTTTTTTTTATCGCTCTACCAAGTTCTATTATAAGTAGGCTAAAATTACATTTGCTTCTTCCATCTCGCCACATTTTGATAATAATTCTCACATTTTTTTTTATATTTACAAATGAAATTTTCTTTATGATTAAATCTTCCCGATTAGATTAGATACATTATCGTCACTATTTAAAAGTGTAAACACTTACTTTTCATTCTCCTTTCGTCCATTTATTCTAAAAATATGGGACTCTACCTTAGGATCTAATTTGATATAGATGCATCAAAATGAAATATTGTAATATTAATGCATTTTTTGTTAGAAACTAGATCGTGATTCAATCTAGTAGACGAGGTTGAGCACGTATCTTTATTCAAGTGACAATTGAATTTACACGGAGGTAGTAAAAATAAGAGATCACAGCAGTTGCCTTATTTGAATAGATTATTAATTATCGCACGTAAGTGTAATAATATCAATGTAACATAATATTTTCATAATGTTTAAGCACTTATTAACTTGTACAACCATTACGAATGGAATACAATGTTGGTTTAGTTATATACAATTTAAATTTCATTAAAGTGTATCTATTGGAAGCACAAGGTTCCTATAAATAAAATCATTAAAATGTTTAGTAAAGTGACAGGTCGCACGTCATCTCTCTCTCTCTCTCTCTCTCTCTCTCTCTCTTTCTCTCTCTCTCTCTCTTATATTTACGTGAATGACTCTTTATTTACTTTATGGCAAATTAAGTGAAGAATTATATAATTATTAATTATTAAGGTAAACTTCCTTTGATATAGCGCCGATACATGGTATTACAAAATGTCCTATCGTATATAATATATATATATATAATTATATATATATATATATATAATTCGATAATTGTGTAGGAAAAATCTACCTCATATGAATAAACTATTAGAATATGTACACTATGTATAAAAGGGAGAAAAGAGAATGGCTATTATTTTATTATGATATTATCATGAATATGGTGTGGTACGTAGGAACAGGCTATTTCAATTAATATTCTTCTTAATGTTACAGAGTAGTGCCAATGAAATATCTATTTTACTCGTTATTGGAAGATAAATTATAGTAAAAGTTTATTATGCATAAGGCATGTCCCTGCGTACCTGAGACTACGCTATTAATGTCAATCGATATGAAAGTAACTTTCATCATCGTTATTTTATTGTCATACTACTATGTCGTGTTAACTTAATTAATTTTTATATTTGGAAACAATTACTACATGTTATTATTTATCATACATATATGCAAAATTCTTTTCTTCTTCAAATAAAATTAATCTATTATCTGAGGAGAATACACAAATCTAAAGTAATAAAGCGTGTTAACTGTAACATGAACAATCACAATTGCTTTTTATAAACAAAAATAATAATAAATGAAGGTAAAAAAATTTGTAAGATTCACATAATTGCATATATGTCTGGTAAATACTTTTATGTAGATTACGTTTTTGTAGTAACTGCGAAAGGGAATAAAATGTGTGTGTGTGTGTGTGTGTGTGTGTGTATACGCACGCACACATTAAATTCTCTTGATATGATATTCCAAATTAAATTTTTCCTATCTTGGTCGCATATATTCTCTTACAATATCGACTGATATATCTATACAAATTACTTTAATTATTATAATAAATATTTACGAGGATAAAATTTGAATATTGTAACATTAGAATAAGATTAGTAACATTACATAACATTTCTAATGGAAATAACAAATTATGCTATAATAAATATTAAACAAATTGTTTCTTCCAACTGATTACATTTTATTGTTTTAACTATATCATGTTACGTACTATGGATCATTGTTTTTATCCTACAAAAGAATACTCGTGTTCCCTTGCAGTCAATACATTCAATTTTTCTTATCTAATACTTTACAGAATATATGTTAATTACCTATTTACTTATTAAAATTTTTACTAACATTATATTAAAAAAGCTGTAATAAAAAAATCAATGATATACACATACATGCTAATAATTAATTAATTGCATGTTTCATGTTGGTCATTTTTTAACTGGCTATCATATTGGCCATTTTAATCGTAGCAAATTGTCTATACAATGAATGACCTTCACAAGGAAAACTTCATTTTTTCATAATATTATGATTATATACTATTTTGTCTTATATACGTTTTGTAGTTACGCTAATCTTATACCAATTGATAGAAAAACAAATGAGTCCATATATAAAGATGTGTCTATAAAACATCATTATTAGAAAATAAACAAATTTCATTGATACATACATACACACATGCAACATCGATATTCGTGTGTGTGTGTGTGTGTGTGTGTGTGTGTGGTGTGGTGTGGGTGTGTACATATATATATATATATACACGCATACACACACATGTAATGCGTTTACATATGTAACATACAATGATATATACATAAATAACGATAAATCGAAATTGTGAAATGAAGAAACTTTTTTACGTTAGATTTTGTTTTCGAGGAAATTGACTGTAAATATCAATCGATTATAATATATACACACTTCAACTCCATTATCAAAATTGATTTTATCACAATGCCCAATTAACTGATTATCTATCTGAATTCTTAATTCTAAAAGCCACGCGCTTATATGAATTAAATTTTACATGAATATAATTTGCCTTAGTATTTATAAAGCAAAATTCAGTAATATAAAAATTAATAGACACACGAAGAAGACTAATGCAATTATCCGAGAGGTCGGTTGTGGTAAATAAATTGCATTTTACTGTACATTTAATTCAACGGTCATTAAATGAATTTCGATGAGGCTGTATCTTTTTTACAAATAGTATATAGTATCGTATAAGACAATCGATACTTCATATAGAGATATAGAGATATTGATGACAAAAAAAATTTGATCAAAGAAAGGATGAAGAAATCAAATTATCTATGACTTTAATGCTATTTGTAAACAAGTTATGATCTGTATTATTTGTTCAACAATTAAGTTAAGTTAGATGTAAACGTACTTACACTTAATATTTCATTCAAATTTCTCAAAAACAAAATTTCGTATAAGAAAATGTTATTTTGTAATTTCGATTTAATTTCTCAACAAGTTAATTCTTTTCTGGTTGTACCATGATTACCGAGCCACTGTTTACGCACGCACACACAAACATATATCATCACAGGAAATATATTACAATGATTTGTGCTGTACTTAAAAAAATTTGAATGTGATTTTTAAGAATACTTGTCAATGAAAAGTAATGTATTTAAATGTAGATATATCAAGTTAGAGCCAAGTTATATTACAATCTCGCCTTTAGCCGAAGACAACTTTTCCTAATTTTCTTTTGATATGATTTCATTTGAACCCCACTGCACCTCATGCTTATAGTCGTCATAGATAGATACGATTACAGATCTAGGTATATGTATATATAACGCATTTTATACGACTAGAAGCCTTGAGTAGCGAGTAGGAACTATAGGGAAATTGAACAATTTGTGCAAAGTGACTGGTAATGTTTCTTGTTTATTCAAAGGTTCGAATATTGTTGTGTTCCTTAAGTTTAATCATGTACATTATTCAACAATTTTCCTTTCATTTTATTCTTTCCTTGTTTTTTATATCAGAATGTAACTAAATATATATTATACTTGAATAATGGAGTTACATGAATATAATTGTTCTTACAATTTTCATGCAAACATTCCTCAAAGTGGGAGATGTTGCATGTTTTAAAATTAAACTTTAGTTTTAATAGTTAACTCCAAATTCTTAATTTTTTCTCATTAATTAATGTACATGTATATTTTTGGTATTAACAATTCTATATGATTAAATACTTAAATAAATATCTATTATAAACTATATAGTTATTAAACATAACAAATGAAAATTATTTACGATAAGTTATAAAAACAGGCATTTACAGGCATATATATATACGTGTGTGTGTGTGTGTGTGTGTGTATGTATTATTTTACACACACGCGCGCGCAAACATTATATGCACGTATGTATGTATATATGTGTGTATGTTATACGTTGTATGTTTGTATGTACGTATGTATCGACGATGAAAACACATATCTAACTTTTCTTACAATATGAAGTAATATACAAAGTTAACATATGTATGGTGCGCGTCGCGTATGATGTATATGTTAATACATCATACGCGACGTACATCCACGCATACATATATGTCTGTGTATATGTGTATATATATATATATATATATATGTATGTATGTATGTATGTATGTATGTATGTATGTATGTATGTATGTATGTATGTATGTATATATATATTATTTTATCTGCAAAACTTGACCATATTAATATTGAACTGTGAATTATATAAAATCATCAATTTATGTAGATTTTATATCGTTATTGTATCGTTTTTTTCCATTATCACAGATTGTTTTAGTGGTAGGCCTATTGTTTATATCAGGTATAAAAGGCCAGCAATCGACTAGTAAATTTAATAAAATCTGCTTAAATTCTGCTTCAAGCATTGATATCGCCATCATGCTTCTAAGGTCGGAAATAGTCTTGTGAGAACAAAATAAGCCACATCATCATTACTCCAATATCTAGTATGCGCTACTACTGCATATAAATAATTTCTACCTAATCCAACTGCTCGTAAAACGTAATCCAAACGTTGCGTTAGCTCTAATGAATATAGAAAATTTAATTATACTTTTATGTGTTAAGCAAATAGAAATATATAATTATAATCTATAATTAATACCTTGTCCTGGACGGATTGGAGGATTTGAATCTGGCGTTGGTGAAGATGAGCCTTCTTTAACATTCCAACCAGCTCTAACTAAACCCCAAAGGCTCCATCCTTTCTCCGTATTACGACTGGACACATCGACTGGACTATCTTCTCTTTCATCGGTCTCTATTAATATAAGAGAAAATGTATGAAAATTAGATATTAACTTATCTTGCTAATTCTCTTACGATGGAGTTAATTTTATTTATTAACATTTAAGTAATCAAAAGTTTTAAAAAAATCAGTGTGTGTGTGTGTGTGTGTGTGTGTGTGTGTGTGCGTGTGTATCGTTTAAACCGACATACCAGTGGGAGATATATTTTGATCCGCGTTAACTAGTGACGAAGGTTCTATTTGCAATTCATCAACTCCTCCTCCATACGGTGGTATAACAACTGGCTCGACTTTACTATATCCTCTTTCCAAAAGTGGTTCCATACGATATGCTACAGGATCAGACCAATGAAATATATTGTAAAATCTTTTGCATAAGCCTTGAGGCATTACATCTAATCTATTGGACGGTGTACGTGTGCGCAATGCTAAAAACACTGACAAAGGAGAGCCCAAACAAAACAAGTTTTCAATCTGTAAAGAAGAAAATATCATAATAAAATTCTTTCCGTTCTGCCTAACTTATAATTAATAATTGCTTCTCTATATTAATAATTGCTTACAGGAAATTGTAAACCTTGCAACAAAACTTCTTGATCTGGAGATGGAGGTCTTGTGTCAGGACCCATCCAGCCTGTGACTATATCGTATACGATCACGCAACCTAATGAATGTGCCAAAATTGAAACTTTGCCTTTCCAATCAGGATGTCTGCTGGTAAACATGAAATATAATCTATTCAATTCTTTTTGTAATCCAGCTCTTACTTCCCCGCCATATAGAGGACTCGTATAATAAAGTATGTCCATTGCTGATGTATTTAATAGATGACGGATACTTAAAACGCTGTACGGTGTAATAGCTTCGACTATGTCTGGAAATATATACATACATATATATATATATATATATATATATATATATATATATATATATATATACATATAGTCCGTTAACTTTTTGTCTATCTGCGATGATTACATAACAACAAGTTAGACATAGAATTGAGAATTTTATTTACCTCCGTCGAGTTTCAAAGATGATCTCCATTCAACGGGAAAAAACTCAACTCTGTAATTTGAATTTGGAAAAAATCGTTGTCTCAGCCGTTCTATGCACTCTCTAAATCTGTTGAAAAATAAATAATATAATTAAACATTTATACTAATAGCAAAGATAAGAAAATATATATTTCTTAATATCGTAACATAGACTAAATCTCTAATTGTTTATTTAAATGAAACTTTTAATTATAAAATTTAACAACAAAATAAAATAAAAAAGTCATACGATGTTGTATTGCGTATTATTTTTCCAGTGTCTCTCTTATGACCAATTCCATGAACGACAAAGACTAAATGGTCTATATCTTGGGGCTTATCTTCCATTGTAGCAGGAACTTTATATCCCCTTTTTAATCGATATCCTGTGGCTACAATGTTCATTAGATTTAAGTATAAGTATTTCTATAACTTTTTTTTCATTACACTACATTACTCTCATAAAAAAAAAAAATGCAGTAATATTATATACTACACAATCCATTCAAGATTTGAGTCTATAAGATTTATTTATCTATTATCATTTTGTAGAAGACGAACGAAAATGTAATAATGAAAAAGTGATTTACTTTTGGGCAAACCCAGTTTGGATGTAACACTGCGCATTAATTTACTTGTTGTATATTCGCTATATAATGCAACATAATCTATCGAGTGCCAGTCAACGTGAAATTCTGGAAAGCATTCTGTGTGCAATACTGAAACATTAATCAGTATTTCAATTTATGTAATGTGACGTACGTACACACATACACACGCACACACAATCAATTTGGCACAATATAAAAATAATCAATACCTTTGTATGAGTAAGAAGAGGCATTTGTTTCAGGCGTTGACCTATAATGTTCCAAAGATTGTTTCGGGAACAATTTTAGATGAACTTCCTCTATGACTTTAGAATGTTCTATTTCCAATGGTATCCAACTACCATCATAATACCATGTACCTCTCATTATTTCCCATTCTTCGCCTTTAATTAAATGTAATTATAATATATTTCTATTAGATTATTAATACATTGTAAAATATAGAGAAGCAAAGATAAAATAAAATGAATGATATTAGCAAGAGTAATAGAAAATAAAAGTTCTTAAAAGTGTTTTTTAATGAAATAGTGGTAACGACAAGGAGGTAGACCAAATATATAACTATTAATTATTATAAACGGTAATTCATGATATGTAGAATGCAATAAAAATAAGATAAAAAATTATTGTAGGTATATGTATATATATATATATATACCCATTGGCATAATAAAATTGAAAAAGAAAATTATTTCTGTTATGCCTAAAATACTATGAAAATAGTATTAAAGAAAGACTGATATTTAGATTATGAAAAATTAGCAAACATTATGTATAAAAATCATAATAAGAAATAGGACATTGCTTAAGTACAGGATCAATAAATGAAATGAAATGACAAGAATGCCGATTAGAAAAAATGAAAAGTACCAAAACCATAGATTATGCTCTCAGTTCTTTTATAAAACATATATGCTTAAAACATAATCTCGTAGAATCGTTTTACTATCTTCATATTTCTTATATAATATATGATTCTTATCTTTATAAAAATAAGATGTAAGGAAATATTTTTAATATATAAACATATACATATATATGTATATATATATATATATAATAGATTATTTAAACAGTAAAATATTTACTTCAAAGGTATTTTTAATGTATGCATTTTTTGTATATCAATTTCTTCCTCTTGGCCGTTTCCACATATATAAATTTTAATATCCTTTATTGCAAAGTATATTAATCTTTAATCAAAATATATGGACTATCTAAAAAGATCATTCGATAGGAACATTAAATAGAAATGAGAAAATATTTATTAATGGAAATAAGCACCTGGCCAATATATCGAGACACATTTCATATTATCAATTTCTGTGTCATACATTCCTCCTCTAACGACAACTTTCTCGGCAGGTGGCAATTCATTGCTCTTCCCATCATTTTTACCAAGAAGACTTTGTCTTTCTCGCCAAGCTGCTTCTATTCTTAAACTATCGTATCCACAAAATTCTACCCATCTTTTATCGACTCCACCTTTGTAAAACCAACGGATTTCTTCTGGCGTTAGAGGTTCTGCATGTGTTGCCTCATTAATTGTACCTTTTGTACCTTCCTTTGTACTTTGTGTACTTTGTTCGTTGTCTGCCTTTCCATTCCCTTCAATGAGAATAATCATAGCAATTTGTATTATCCCTTTCTCGTGTTTCTGCTTACCATTATAATTGTACGATAGTACAACTTAATACCTTCACAAATATCAATTTCCAAAGCAACTTCACTGAATGGATCTACTTCAATTGGGTTACTGGACATTCTTTAAATCGTTGGAAGCAATCGAACCCTCTATTGTATTAAAAAAATCACCGACATATATATATATATATATATATGTATGTATGTATGTATGTATGTATGTATGTATGTATGTATGTATGTATATATGATGTATGTACACACACAGGCGCGCGCGCATATGTGCGTGTGTGCGTGCGCGTGTATATACACAGATCACTGTACTATAATCGCGCAGTAAATTGGAATGCACTGTGCATTTCAATGACAAATAATATTCAAGCACGATATCAGTCGACGTTATGTACTTACGATTTATTATTGCACTATATAATAACACTGTATTCTCAATACGAAATGAAACGTATATTTTGATCTGAAGTTAATCGTAAAGTTCTATTTGTGTCTGATGTAATTATAAAGAAAGAAAAGAAAAAGAAACACTGACAGGCAGCGACATTTGAAATATTGCGTGACACTTAAAATCTCCCGATACACAAAAATTTACCTTCCACGAAGGACAGTTATCTAAAAATATTTTGGTTCTTCTTAAATACACAACGATAGTGATTCATTTCCCTGAGACGTAGTCTTATGTAACTTTGATTTCCGATTCGGGTTTCCGTTCTGCGAACGCAATATGTTTAAATTCCAAAAGTTGGACAGCTGATCGTCAACGGCACTAGCATAGTTACAGGAGAACTAATACAATGGGCATATGTATACGATATGTCCATACGTACATACGTATGAACTTAACGATATATCCGTATCATGGTGTGTAATGCGCGTATCGTAAACTAGGCACGCGCGTTCCAAGTATGCAAATAATATGATATCACGTATAATATGTGCGCGTCATCATTCCTCATATATCACGCAAGGAAAATTCGAAATATTCAATTCTACAAAATATAATGAATATATTGTTTTCAAACTTTCCCAAATGCCCGTATCTATTACTCTTTATATTATATCTATAAGCGTAAGAAATAAATAAGAATAAATAGAAATGTAAATAATAAATGGAAGTGTAATTAAATCTTCGATAAAACGATTCTTCTATTCGAAATGTAGTATAGTAATTGTTTTCTCTCTCTCTCTCTCTCTCTCTCTCTCTCTCTCTTTTTCCCCCTTACTTTATATGCAATTGGGACGAGGAATAGGAATTTATGTACGCGTGCGCAACACATTAATAGTTTTATTCGAGTGATGCAAGCTTACATGAGTATGCACATGTGTATTATACAGAAATAAATTTGAAACATTTTAATGTTAGTCCATTCTATCTTTGATGATTATTTAATGTATTAAAATGAAAGACAAGGATAATCTCTTAATAAATTTAAACGAATTTTAACAAAGCTAATTTACCTACGTTGTAAATTTATTATAAATTAACGTACATTATATAGAGTATCGGTATATGTATATATATATATACACATATATACGTGTGTATATATATACGCCGATATATATATATATATATATATAGACAGGCTTATTTTACTATAGCGAATCAGGCAGATGTGGGTTATCATCATGATTTTTACGATAACGTACAACTTATAATTTCAGGTTAGCGAATGAAACGGGCCAAGAGTAGTAATCGTAATCGAAATGTTAGATGAAATCATTCAATTTTATTGTATTAGTATATGATAACGCGAGATAATTTATTTGCGAGTGACATTATAGTCCGATGTAATTTCTTCGGAAAAAGGAGAATATATTAATGATTACATTTGGTGTGAATTCAAAGCAGTTTTTATAATTAATGTATTTTTCATAATCGGCGCTAAAAATGTTTACGTCTAAAAAGCTTTGTTATTTAATAAAATACATACAATGCATAAGAATATACGATATCCAGAGAAATATCCGCCAGTCTCGAACGAAATTCAAGCAACTATAAATGTTTGCTCTATTGGTAACTTCTTTCGCCATTTGTAATATAACGTATACTCGGGCAAATTGATTAATACAGCATATATCGTTATTTCATTGCACTCCACTTCCATTGTCTTTTTATTTCGCGTTCGTTATCGTATCGTATCGCATCGTGTCCTATCGTATCGCTTCCTATCGTTTTTTCATAATCTTCGATAGATTAATATGAATTATTAATTATATTATAGTAATAAATGTGGAGAGAATCTATCTAGCTTTGTCAGATTACAACGCATTCCTTTTTTACAAAACGTAAGAGGCTGATTAAAGCAAGACAAACATACAAAAGATATTAATCGTTTTTCTCAATATATCACTGTTTTTTACATGTTTGTTACATGTTTTTCTTTTACAAAGGATCTTGTAATAATCTTAATATATACACATACATATATATATATATGTGTGTGTGTATATATATATATATATATATATATATGTATATGTATATGTATATGTATAAGTGCGTGTATATGTATGTAATAAGATGGTAATAATTATTTGCTCTTACGTGTATATTTATTGTTACAAACGATAGTATACAATATGGTACTTAAAATTAATTTATCTTATACAAGAGAGTTTACATCTATAATAGCCATAACGTTACTCGCTATGGTCAGCAGCTCTACGCAACAGGACATATATTTTTTCCTTGATCCATTCCTTATTGTACGGTGCATAAGTGTTCGTACATTTTTGATATACCAAACATGATATGTCTGTCAATTGGTCGACAAAGTCAAATAATTGGCTAATATCGTACCTGATCGTCGGTGTATTTGGATTTCTTTTTTTCAAATGTTCCTCGTAAATTTTACATACACCTACGTATAAGAAATGTGTAATCATTAGTATTTTTCATCTTATGAGATATATAGGTATTAAATCAAATATATATAAATACTATGTACACACATTTATGAAATATATAAAAAAATTAAATATATACTTAGAAGATTTAGCTTAACTCGAACGCACCCTATTATACTGAACAATATGAAATAATGTTTTATAAACAAATTATTCCATTCAAATTGGTCGATTTTTTTTCTGACAAAGATTCTTGTTTTCTTTTCAAAGTTGTTCATTTCAAGGAGATCTTAAAATTATCGTTATTTTTTTTTGTAAATAATTAAAAAATTCTTTTATATCGACGCAGACAGATAATTTATACATTCGAGTTAATCTTGCACATATATATGTATGTATGTATGCATGCATGCATGCATGAACCAACCAAAAGCGATTTTAACTGTACTTTTAGAATTCTTTAAAAAGGACTCGATTGATTCTTAACTTTTTATATATTTAAATTAAATGTCCATGATAATTGAGCTCTTAAAATAACTTAAATTAAATTGAAACATGAATTGACCAAAAATGTAATATTCCCTCATCGAATAATAAGTAATAAATAAATTACAACGACAAATAATGTAAAATACAATGTTATGGCTTTTCTAAGGAATTTCTTTACACTTTTCTTTTGGGTGTTTTATCAATTTGGCTCGCATATTCATATAATGACATATTGGGTTGTCCGGAAAGTTTGTGCCGATTTGTGATAGGTAACGTAATGACAAAATCGGCACGAATTTTTCGGATAACCTAATATATAAGATAGAAATCAATTACCTTCCATACACTCGTTGACACTTTCATAGTCTGAAAACGTTCTTGTTTCTGGCCTGTTGCCTGGCTGTACGAGTAATATCGTATGAGCCTGAAATTAATGCCTAATTCTTAGTGAAAATGAATATTCGAATGTAATGTATTATATATTATATCAAATTAAATGTATACGATGTCATTATTTTGTATACTTCGATTGTATACAAAACGAACAAGAAAAGTATATTTGGCGATACATTATATTCTAATTCGATATAAAATATAATAGAATGGGTCCAATGATCCAGAAAAATGATACTATTGATAATACAAATATAAACAATAGCTAGCACACACACACACACACACACACACACACAGTTGATTTCACAATCATAGTAGCAATACAATTACCATTTCTGCGTTCTACTTAAAACAATATTATTTCGATGGGATCAAACAGACAACTTGATTGTAAGTCGTATTAATCAAATTATTGATGTAACGGCAAGAAAATCACAAGAGTTCATATAAATAATAAATCCAGAATTTTCGATACACAACTCGTTATATACCCATTTAGTTTTCTCCTTCGAATAAAAAGACTAAAGAGAGAATCAAAGATATAGGATATCGTCAAAATTCATTGTAGTTCCATCCGACGGAAGTCATTTACGCCATTTAGCAAATGCATTGAATTTTTTTTATCGCTAACACTTGCGTGCGCAATTATCTTTAGATTTGTTTTAATAGCTGAATCGTCCGAGAAGCATATCCAACATGACTTTAACCATGATCGTCTCCTATGGTTTAACGGTTATATGTGTGTGCGTGTGTGTGTACGTGTGTACGTGTGTACGTGTGTATATATATATATATATATATTAAAATTAATCTTTGAATGAACGTGTCCTTTTAAACTTGGCGCGTATCAAGATGGCGACACTTCCGTCTTGTGCTATAACAACGAGTCTTCCCTTCTCATAATCTTTTTGCTCAAAGCGAGACAATCTTATCTTTATTATTCAAAAATTAGTTCCTGAAATATTCACTTCACTTTCCAAGCAATTCATGCTCTATATCCACATAGTATCGATAATACAAGTACAATTTCTGTTGATATACATTGTTGATATACATTGATATTATTGAATTTCGTTTTTATCCTTTATTCTATTGGCTGCTACCAATATACTTTCCAATATTTACAGCCAATCAATTTCATTTATCGGAAGTGGCGCTTCGGTTTGTACATATATATTGGTTTCGAAGTCTTATTTAGAATTTGCCTTTAAATTACAACAGGACAAATGAATGTCAGTAACCTCGAAAGTGAATAAATGAGAAATTGAAGAGAGGGCGAGTAAATCGAATCGAAAGAACGCCTGACGCGGTTTCCTTAAATCAAATATGAAGACTAAACAGGAATTAACGAGCGAACCTACTTGGGTCAAGTTACAAGAATGTTTCAACAAGACAGGATCTGAAATTAACATATATAACTTATTTCAGCAAGATCCTGTTCGTTTTCAAAACTTCAGGTATGTTCGATTACGTTCTTGGCGTATGACCTTGACGTGACCTTTCCAAGATTTTTATTAAGTACACCTGATTAACGAAATTATTAATATCTTAATTCAATCGAATATCGCTTTCTTTTTTATAACCGAATATAACCTCATAAGTTTATGATGCATAAAATTGTAAAAATAATATAATAGAAAATATAATATAGTCAATATGCCTTTCGACGTAACGTACTTGTAATTATGTCTTTATTTACTTTGTCTCTCTTAGTCTAGAAATCTCTACTCCAGAAGATGGGCCTATATTACTCGATTATTCGAAAAATCGAATCACAAAGGAGATATTTGACTCGTTACTTGATTTGGTACGATTTTAATATTACCAATTATTATAGTTATACGACAGATCGCATACAACGATCGGTTGTATCTTATATTTTATTTACCATTTATAACCTACAAATTGCTAGTAATTATTACTTTTGACATTTCATTTAGGCCCGTGCACGGCAAATAGAAGAAGCACGAAGCGCAATGTTCTCCGCCGAAAAAATAAATTTTACCGAGAACAGAGCTGTCCTACATATAGCTTTACGTAATAGAAGTAATACTCCCATATTACTCGATGATAAAGATGTTATGCCAGAAGTGAATGCAGTTTTAAGTCACATGAAACAATTTACTGATGAGGCAAGATAGTGATATAAATAGATTATATATTTTTTTGCAATATTAACGAAAAATTACAAAAAATATATTCTCCTTTTATATCTAGATAATATCAAAACAATGGAAAGGTTTTACAGGGAAGGCAATTGAAGACGTTGTAAACATTGGAATTGGCGGCTCTGACTTGGTAAAGTAATATAATTAATGAAATAAAAGCAATTCTTATTGACGTAAGAGTATTTTTACAAATAGGGTCCCCTAATGGTAACGGAGGCTTTAAAGGCCTATCATATCGGGCCACGTATACACTTTGTCAGTAATATAGATGGAACTCATATCGCGGAAACGCTTAAAAAATTAAATCCTGAAACTACTCTGTTCATAATAGCATCTAAAACGTTCACTACTCAAGAAACGATCACTAATGCAACTTCGGCAAAATTGTGGTTATTAGAATCATTAAAAAATGTAAGTAATACGAGTGGATTATAATTAAGAGAGCCCTGTTATGTATCTATAAACATTCCGTCCATATATACATCTATATATACACATTATTGTTTAGGAAGCAGCTGTCGCCTTCCATTTTGTTGCCCTCTCCACTAATACGCAGAAAGTTAAAGAATTTGGTATCGATGAAAAGAATATGTTTGGATTTTGGGACTGGGTTGGGGGACGATATTCTTTATGGTCCGCTATTGGCTTATCCATTTGCTTGTCCATTGGTTTTGAAAATTTTGAGAAACTTCTCAGCGGAGCACATTTTATGGATCAACATTTTTGCAAAGCTCCGCTAGAGAAAAATGTATGAAAAGTTATTCATAGACTTCGTTAATACGTTAAGATGTTATTTGTAAATATTATATATATATATATATATATATATATGTGTGTGTGTGTGTGTTTGTGTGCATATAATTTTTGTCTTTTAACAATACACAGGCACCTGTTATTCTTGCGCTTCTTGGCATATGGTATCATAATTTTTATAAAGCCGAGACACATGCATTATTACCATACGATCAGTATTTGCATAGATTTGCTGCATATTTTCAACAGGGTGACATGGAGAGTAATGGAAAATTTGTTACTCGATCTGGGAAGAAAGTTAATTATTCTACCGGTAATCATATCATAATATAAAATATATATTTTATTATATATTAACGAGTCTTAACGAGTATATTTTAATATGTTAAGGCCCGATTGTATGGGGAGAACCAGGTACAAATGGACAACATGCATTTTATCAACTTCTTCATCAGGGTACAAGACTCGTACCTGCAGATTTTATAATTCCCGTAATATCCCAGAATAAGGTTTGAAAGTTAAAACTTTTGAAAAGATAAAAATTTATTTCTTATATTTGTGAAATGATAAATATTCATTAAAGGTTCAAGGTACGTTACATCATGAAATTTTACTTGCCAATTTCTTTGCGCAAACGGAAGCTTTAATGAAAGGCAAAGGTCAAAGTGAAGCTAAAAATGAATTAGAGAAATCTGGTTTAAATCCGGAACAAGTGAATTCATTGTTGCCTCATAAAGTATTTGAGGGCAACAGACCAACCAATAGTATTATGGTAAAAAAAGTTACGCCTTTTGTCCTTGGTGCTTTGATCGGTTAGTATCATTATTCAAAGTGTAGTCAACATAAAGAGAGAGAGCATTGACTTTTTTTATGAAGATACAATTTCTTTCAATACTTTTTAGCAATGTACGAACACAAAATTTTTGTACAAGGTATTATTTGGGACATTAACTCGTACGATCAGTGGGGGTAAGTATCGAAGATAAGTATCAAATATTTGAAACTAAACATTTATTTTAATACTAATATAAATAATTTTTTTTCCAATATTCAATGTTGCTTATTATAGCGTTGAATTGGGTAAACAGTTGGCAAAAGCTATTGAACCTGAGCTTCGTAATACTGATAAAATTACAACTCATGATTCATCTACAAATGGTCTTATTGCATTTGCAAAAGCAAATTTGACTATTTGACAATAGTCTTCAATTATTATATAGTTGTTTAGATACAGCCGGGATACGCGATCTAGCTATATTTTTTTTTTTATTTAAGCTGGTGAAGTTTAGTTGACAAATAATTTGTTAACATTTTGTAGTATGACTTTGCTCGATTAAAAATATAAAATGTTAAGAGAGGTCTACAAAAATTACAGATTAATCTATATATAGTTTGCATTATTTTTTATAAATGCTAACATCATTATGTCTAAATACTTGATGTATGTATAATTTGTTTTATTCTATATAACTAAATGAAAAGAAGGATTAAACATGTCTTAACATTTGGTGCGATGGCGTACCAAATTATTTTATGTTTCAAGTTGATTAATATCACTTGGTATGAAATCATGTTACGAATTCAATGATTTTTGTATTTAATTTAATAAATTGCTTAATTTTATTTAATCTTTATTTTCACGATTCCTATATATCATGATCGAATATACGTGCGCAGGCGCGCGCGCGCGCTCGTATGTATGTATGTATGTATGTATGTGTGTGTGTGTGTGTGTGTGTGTGTGTGTGCGCGCGCGCGCGCGCTTCGCGTGTATCATTAAATGCAAACACTTATTCAAATGGAGTCCGATCGCAAGCAACACGTAAAACACTGGTCGGTGAAGGCAGGTGCGACGACAACAGAAAGAGACGTGGTCTTTTCTACATATGAATGTGATTTGCAGAATCTCGAGGAATATACTTGAATTCTTCGGGGAAAAAAAATACACGTAGATGACGTAGTACTGCAGATATATCGTGTGAAGAAAAAGAAAAACAAAATCGTAACCTTTCCACCGATTATCTTGAGATAAATTTTTCCGCGTCAATAAATGAAAGTTTACGTGAATTTGTAGTTATTTATCTAATGAAGGTTACGTTTGATCGTACCATTGATAAAATGGAAATGGCCTTTGTTAAATATCAAAATCTCGAAGAAAAAGTTTTGGAAAATTTAAAGATAAATGGCATAAAACATCGGTACGTATATATAATAGCCGACGATTTATTTCTTTTCTCGATACGACATCGCATAAACGTGTATTATAATAATTTCTTCAATTGCCCTACAGGTCGTTTTACTATTTCGTTAAGTTCATTCGACGTTTTAATTTAATATTTTTTTTTGGTTTTGTTTTCTCTTGTAAAAGGATACACATTTATTTACACATTTCTAGATCAAAAGGAAGCAGTGGATTATGGATTGGAGGTTTAATTGGATTCTGTGCAGTTTTAACGTTACTAAAAGAAAGTAATAGCTATTCGGAGATATGTTTGGTCACAGGATTAGGAGGTTTTGGATTAATCGTTAGCTGCTTGTCTCTTTACGTTCGCCTTTTTATAGGAAATGGCGCGATTAAAGATTTTCATGCTATTTATTTTCTACCGTCGATCACAACATCTATGTTATATCTTCTTGTAGCAAACAAAGGTATGACGATTTATATTTTGTTCAGATACAAATTAATATTCGTTAATTCATAAGGTAAAAAACATATTCATTTAAACTATAAAATATATTCATCATGTTTTCCTCGATCATTACACAAGTGCAGGATTGCTGACAAGTTTAATATGGGGATTAAGCGTAGGAAGCTTGGGTACCTGGGGAGTCCTACAATTAATGTCACATTGCCCAGGTTGTTTCACGATAGGAGAGGCAACGATAGTTATGCACGGAATTATTTTATTCCTATTGTCGGTCGCCACGAATGTACCATTGAGGTATCATTTACCACCAATTCATAATGACGATATCGTTACTGTTATATTGCAGGTATTTTAATCGCTCGTCGCAAATAATTTTGTTACAATTGAAAAAAGAAAAAAAAAGAGAAAAGTAATTTTGCGCCTTGTCAAATGTTTTGCAGATTGGCATATTATATGTGTTATCAGTTTGTATATTATGTAAAAGCTTTTCTATACTACGTTTCCCTTTGTACTTTTATACAATGTTATTTGGTACTTTTTTTCTACTCGCTGTTCCATTGTTATATGTCCTCCTTGACAAAAATCCTATAACATGGATATTATTTTATATCACTGGAGAACCACATAGAGTGAGTTTTATATTATTTATATTCATTATACGTCCCATTGATGGGAATCGAAATGTTAAACGTTCACGTTTATTTTTACAGATTACATTGATAATATATTGGACAATTTGTTTATTATTTTGCGTATTTGTTATAATCTTTCAAACGCTATCTGGCATTCGAGCTACAACCTCCATCAGGAAATATTTTCATGTCCTAGCCGTTCTGGTTTATATCCCCGGACTTATATTCGAGCCTACGTTATTATATCTTGGAAGCGGCGTTATAATGGGAATATTCATACTGTTTGAGGTACGAAGCTTTATAATATTATTCTGTATTTATCAAAGGTAAAATTGAAATTTCTTCTCTATTTATGTATCAATTTATAATATAAGTATCACGATATTATGAACAATATAATTTATTTCCAATCGTTTCTTCGTTTTCGTCATTAACGAAATTTCAGTTATCAAGGATTTTGCATATATCGCCATTGGGGGATATTCTGCAGAAAGGGTTCATTGTATTTGTGGACGAGAAAGATACTTTAATATCTTTGACGCCATTGTATTTACTCTGTGGCCTTTCATTTCCATTGTGGATGCCAGCTAGTAATGTTTCACTGTTCGTCCTTCTTAGTGGGGTATTAACAGTAGGCATAGGCGATACGGCTGCTAGTTTCGTCGGTAGTAAATGGGGAAAGCATAAGTGGCCAGGTTTAGAAAAATCTCTGGAAGGAACGCTTGGCTGTGTTATTAGTCAACTTGGAACGATAATGGTTCTTGTTTACATGCGTACGTATTCCTTTTCTTTCCTTTTTTCTTTTCTTCTTCTTCTTCTCCTTTTTCTTTTTTTTTTCTTTTTTTTTTGTTTTTTTTTTTTTTTGTTTCCCTCCCCCAATGCTCGTTCTTTTCTATGAGATAACCATTATATAGTGTCTCATTTAATTTTTAAATTAGGATATATCAATGATCAATGGTCGTTATTAAGAGGTATACCGTCCGTTATTGCAATTTCTTTTGTTGAAACGAAAACCGATCAAATTGATAATCTGATTCTACCGTTGTTGATGTATCTATGTCTTATCATCTAGATGCAGTACATTTTTTACTGTAGAAGGTAACAACGTTACGTTATATATACTCAAAGTTTTATTAGGATATAAATTATATTTGCAGCACATTCAACAAGTTCTCGTTAAATGATGCCATTCATTGATGGAGAGAACATATTTTGTATGCGTCATATATTTAGTTGCAAGTTTTAATTATAGTACGTACATATGTTGTAAATATTAATATAGTATTGATATGAACGAACCAAGTTTTTGTAAAGAAAGGAAAGAAGAAAAAAATATTACGATTACATGGAGCATTTAGAGATATTAATGGATTTTGGTAATTTTAGCTAATATTTCATTTAATAATGTTCATATATAAATTTTATACTATGATTACAAGCTTTTGTACGTAATAGCTTAATGTATTATTTTTGAACAAATTTTCGTAACTTGTCGTTTTTTTTTTTTATACATACACACCGCATCCTTTTTGCGTTCCTCTTGGCTCGTTAATCATTAGGATACGTACATCATTAGGATGAATATCTCAATTTGGAGCTTCGGTCGTTTGAAGAATAATATCTTTCTATAACGAACGGTCGTGAATATGAATATTTGCTTTTTTAAAAGTTAAAAAGTAATTTCTTCTGTGTATAATTGAGAATTGATTCTAAGGAAAATTTAAAGGCGAACGTTATACGAACACGTAGGAAATACGTTTTTCCTTTCTTTTGTTCATTGGTGAAATATGTTTTTTTTTTCTTTCCGATCTTGTAGAAAAAGACGTGATTTCGAGGAAATTATAAATTTATTCGAAGAAGGAGAGGAAGAAAATGATTAGAAGATAACGTTTTCTTTTTTTTTTTTTTTTTTTTTTTTTTATTATTGACCACACAGCCTTAAAATCTTTCCACGGACAGCATTGTCGTCGTTACGCGTCCCCTCGCATATAATATTGTTCTCCGAGGAGAAGGAAAAAAGCACCGTTTCTTATTTATTATCAGCTTTGCGCCATCCGTTTAAATAGAGTACGCTATACTACGAAAAGAGTACATGACACAAAGCGTTATTAATTTGGACGATAGTCATTATCGCATTAAATTTATGCCCTTTCTTATATTTCACATGGAATAATTTCGCATTAGATTAGTCCGAATAGTTGGCGAATGAATCGACGTATTTTTTCAAAAGGAGGGAGCGAGAAGAAAAAAGGAAAGTTAAAGTACAGGTTGATAAATGATAAAATGAAAATGAACGTAAACGATGCTATTTTGGCGATCCCTCGAGAACGTTTCAATGTGTTCTCACAACGTGTTCTCCAATGAGAGTTGGAATAATGAAATTTCATAAAGGAACGATTCTACAATGACGGAATAAAATATGAAATAATCGTCGAATTGTCTTTTGCAAGGTTTGACGGAGAACGTCAGAGGCGTCTTATATTACCTATACCAACTATTTATTATGTATAGTCCTTTATTATCGTAAACATTAGCAATTAAATAAATATCCTGACATTGTCGATCGTATAATGTGGCTTTTTCGTTTCTTTTCTTTAGTTGAGACGTGCCGCTCTAAGGGCAACACGTTCGATCGATTTAGTACATTATTTATTTACTTATTCGGTCAGTTTTTTCTTTTTTTCCTTTTTTCTCTCTTTTTCTCCCCTTTTCTTTTCTCCGTCGGTGCCTTTCAACGGCATAAATTTATTTCTTACGAATGGGCGAAGGAAGGTATACTTGCTCGATTCGCGCTCGTACTTTGATATCGCGATAGAAGGACCATATGGGAGTAAGGTGAAATAAGAAAATAAATAATTGTTTCATGCGTTGTCAATTATTGACTTTTACGTTGCGAAGAGTGTGACACGAGTTTCGCGTATTCGCGAACATTGAATCGGTTGACAATTCTGTACTACAAACTTTCTTTGAAAAAGCATCGCCAGTGAATACATGAATTTTGCAATTTGTAAATTTTGCAAAAAGCGGTGCACTTTAAGAAGGATCTTTCGTTTTTTCTTCAACTTTTCCTACATTCGTTTCATCGAAAATGCGTTATGCTTCGAAAATCTAATTCGCTCTTCGTTTATTTTCACTTTCTTCTTTTTCTTCTTCTTCTTCTTCTTCTTTTTCTCTCGTCTTATAATCCCGAAGTGATCAACTGACCCGAAGTAATCAATCGGACTCATATTTATTTCTAATAAAAATCAACTTGATTAATTCCTCGAAATCCGATCTTCAAAAAGAGAAGAGCTCTCGTCCAACTTTCGAGTCAACTTTCTTGTTCTTCGTTCGATTCATTTTACATAGAAAAACTAGCTAGAACGTTTTCGTCCTTTAGCGACGAATTTAAAGAGAAATCCGAAGGCAAAATGACTACGTTATAGAAATTCTATAAAAATAAAATGCGCGCTCGTTAACGCGGAAACATAAGTGGATCTCTCGCATCATCTTTTATCTCGTTTTCTAAGCGTGCCTCGTAATATCTTTTATATTAATGATAATGATATTCGATCGTAAATTATCCTCTTAAAGGAACGACAACGATAGAGAGACAAGAAATAAGGGCTATGATTTTCAGACCGTTCGTGAATGTTTTTATTAGAGCTGCTAGCAATGATTAAAGGGCCAATGGAGTCTACTTGCTTTCCTTTCTTTTCGTTTTTTCCATCCTTAATAGGGCTTTGACCCTTTGGCCGAAGATTTTTTTCAAACACTCCTCGGAAAGGATTAAATGATTTTACGTTCAAACGAAACAAACAAACAAACAGACAGACAGACAGAAAGAGAAACAAACAAACGAACAAACAAACAAACAAACAAATAAATAAATAAATAAATAATAGAACATATATACTAGATATACATGTACATACGCACGCACACATATATATATATGTGGTATACCTAGCACGCGCATGCTCGTAATAGACGCAAAAATATAACTCCATGAAATAATGGTGCACAGCAGCATAGATAAGCATATTGGCATAAGTCTCTTCGTTTCTTCGAAGGAATTTCTTCTAGAGGCGTCGCAAAATTTCATCAAAGAGAGCAGCGACACTGACCGTGGGGACATTACGGCTCCTCGTTCTCGTTTTAATCTTGTCCTTCGAGGAAATCGAAGAAAGAATTCTAAAAGAATTCTAGATCGAAAGGGGAGAGGAGGGAGAAATAGGGAGGATAGGTCGCATTCCCACAAATAAGGTGGGGAAAATTAATTATTCCCTCAATTTGTGCCATTCCGCGACCTGCCGTCGCGGAGATCTTGAAATTTCGTTCCAATGATTTAGCGCGGATTCTTGACATTTTGGGCCGCCAAATTTTAATCTGCCAATCACCTAAGAAAATAATAATAATAATAATAATAATAATAATTAATAATAATGAAATGGCCGTCAATAGGAGGACATTTAAATTTATATTTTTGTAATAAAGAAGAAGCAAAGGAAGATAAGAATAAAAATGGTCGTTGTTGTTACCTCATTCTTCGTAAATCTATCCCAATCGTAAAGAACTATCTCCAAGCTAACGTTGCTTAAACTATGGATATTATTGGGTATCTCGAAAATAAATGACTCGTTGAATACGGGACTGAGGGTACGCATCTTGACGTGCGTCATCTTCTTGGCGATACATTTCGAATTATAAGAGAGATAAATCTTAACGTAGGGATCCGCAAGACCCGTCACGTCCATTTTCGGGAGATTATGTGCCTTTAAGACAAAGACCGACAGCTTACTCGCCACCGGCTGCCAGCAGAACGATACTAGCAGTTCCCCTCTCCCTTGGGATTGTATCTAAAAGAAGGATTGCACTGCGTATATTCGATTTGGCTTGTAAAATATCCAATCGTATTATATATAGAAGAATTTAAAAAAGTTGATAACCTGATGTGTAAACTTTGATCATAGGGTGCCACCGACCTTCAAACTCCTCGGACAGATGTTTCTGCGCAGAGATATTTCTTGATTATCGGAATCTTTTAACCCTGGTATCGAGGAAAGTGCGCACGTTAACTCGCCGATAATCTCGTCGCGCGAGTATCTGTCGAAACTTAGAACGACGAAGTGCAGACTGATATCCTGTAAGTAACAGCGTTCATTTTATGGATTATAATATTTTACCCTCTCCCACCTATATATATATATACATATATATATATATATATATACATATATATATATATATATACACTCTCTTCCGTTTTTATCTTTCAGATTTGCGCCTGATTCTTTTCATCGGTAGATACCTCGAGTTGACTCTTTGTAATTCCAAAGAACGTGAAATCCTCGTTGTAAACGGGATTTCTCGTATTTCGAAGGACTCTTGTTTTAACGTGATGTCGTTTGTCCGGCAAAAGCTGCAACTTCACGTAAGGATCGCTGCTAGCGTTACCCTGATCCCTAGCCGGTAATTTCTTACACTTGACGACCGTCACCGCCAATGCATTTTGCTCGCTCTTGTATCTCAATTTAAATACCAATATACCTAGACCGTCCTTCTTATCCGAGATTTCAACATTTTTCTCGCATTTGACCTTCTCGTTATTCTCGAGTTCGGCCTTGTCGCATTCGTCCTCGATATTGAGGGTAACCTCGGTGCTGGTAGGCGTTTCAACTGGCGGCGTACCGGCTGAGGAAGAAAAATTAATGAATAATAATCCTCAGGAGCAAAGACCGTAATGTAATCGTCGAGTAAACAAACACCGTTTAAACGGAATATTCGTACGGATTTTTAACCTTTCTCACAACGCGAAACATCGTAATTCGTATTATTATTTCCGGTGTTGTGCGACGTCGTCGAGTCCGAGATGGTGGCATTAGTCGATCCTTCGTCTCTAGATCCGGTCGGACTGGTCTGATGGTTCGTCTGTTGTCCGGTCGAGCCTGGTGGACTTTTTGCAGGCCCGGTTGGACTCGGACTCTTTTTCAAATAATGGCTCGTGCTACCGGGACTCTTTACCGCGGTCGGCTTTCTACGGGGTGGTCTGAAAGCCAACGATCTGTCCGCGTTTAGCTTGGTATGCTCGCGTCGTCGTCGACAGAGCCACCAGGTCATCGCGACGGCGCAAATCAAGAAGGCGCCGCCGGTGCATAGCGCGACCAACGTTGTCGTCGATACTGAAATCACAGGCAACGTTAAAATTTACATTTCGATAACGAACTTTTATATATATATATATATATATATATATATATATATATATATATATCTACTAGGAGTAGAAGGAAATTTCATGCGACAAATTTTCCACCTTTTATATCTAAGAACCAACGAACGTAATCGTCGTTATCGAGACATTTTCCCGAACTATCCTCGGTTTATAATAAACGCAGGGTATTATTAAAATGACAGCGACAGCGGAAGATTAGGGTGAAAACCAAAGCGGATTTATTACGTTTTTCTTTTTTGCCTTTCTCACTTGATCTTTATGAGCGAGCATTAATCTGAAGCAACAGGAAATTAATAGTTGTGAAACAGACAGCTGTTTCGGTCGGAAGAAGAATGGATTTGATGGATTTTTTTCTCTTCCCCCGCCTCCCCTCCCCCCTAGTCTCCGTCCCCGATTAAACGAACCTTCGCGTCAATATGACGGGCGAGAATAAATGCGATCCACCAAAGACTTTGCCATGTCTCCGTGTTCGTGTACGGTTCGACTTTCCAGAAGGATCGCGAATTTTCGCCAAAAGCCACGGACGTATATATGAGCTCTGTTCGAGGGATGAAAAAGTCTTGAATAAGTGTTAAACGAATCGATTCATCGTTTCAAATAATGTACGACGATAAACCGCGCGTTTACCTCGAACGCGGTAACATTCTTGTATGCTATTAAAAGGAAAGAACTTTGATGTAAGGAAAGGGCGAGTCTCGACAAACATTTAAAAGTTTGGTCAAAATCACTTACCGGCCTCAACGGGTCGAACCAGGGGTCCATCCTCCGTATCTCCCCGGGCCATCTTGCGCCACGCTCACGTCGCTTTTGAACGCCTTTTAATGCGCGTATCCTCGCCACGGCGAATACACTGGAACGAATATTTACGGCGTGCTACGCCGTGACCACGGTACTCTCTCTCTCTCTCTCTCTCTCACACTCTCTCACTCACTCACCTTTTCTCTCCTTCCTTTACTCTCTTTCCCTCTCGATTGCTAAGCTACGAACGTAGGGCAAACGGATCAATAAAGACGATACGCGGAGTTTGCGCGCGAAAGCCAGAGAAAAAGCCCTGTTAGACGAGTCGTCGCGGAAAATGTCGCGTCGTATCTTTCCGTTCGTAATAGCTTTTCCCCAAATATGTATACTTTATTATCTTTCAGGATTTTCTCCAACGAGATGGAAAAGGAGAGATTTTTAATCCTAGTATTCTCTTTCTATTTCATTTTATCCTTTCTTTCGTCTTTTTTTTTGCCGTCTATTAAGGAAAAACGTGCATCGATTTGTTTGTAACATTCGTTGTAATTTTTTTTTCTTTCTTTTTTTCTTTTTTATCCCCACAGGGATATAGAAGGAAAGAGGAAGCGGAAGAATAAGAAAAAAGGACGACGGAGGAAGGTGCAATCTTGCGCATTAGCCGTCATCTGCCAGTGACGTCATACGTTAGAGAACGTAGAATATAGTTTCTCGCTTTCGACATACTCGGCGCCACGCGTGAGTCCGACTTTCGTTGACGCGCGTCTTTTCGCAAGAGTCGCTCCGTGCTTGCCGGCATTTACGAGCAGGACCGATATAGAGCTTTCCAGTGCTTCGGAATGCTTCAGTTGGAATGGGATAAGTAAGAAGAGAGAAGAAAGAAGGCTCCAAAAATAAGGCTCTCTCTCTCTCTCTCTCTATCTATCTCTCTCTCTCTCTCTCTCTCTCTTTGTCAAGATGGGCTTGAAGAAATTTGAGATCATTTTTGATAATCCATGGAAAATTTATTATCCCGGACAGATGGTATCGGGAAATATAGTACTGGTTCTAGACGGAGTAAAAAAGATTCGCGGTAAGTCGGACGCGAGACGACGTCATAGTATTTTTTCCTCAATGACGATTCATCAGTTCGTAGATCGATCGATCGATCGATCTTCGACCTTGAGCGAACAGCTTATTTCAACGGGACGTAAGGTCGTGATCCGTTTGACATGTTGCTACAATATTATGGCTATTGTTTTCTTTCTTTTCGCTCTCTCTCTCTCTCTCTCTCTCTCTCTCTCTCTCTCTCTCTATCTATCTATCTATCTATCTATCTCTATGTTTCGTACCACGCGACGCAAGCGCATTTCTCAAGGATATTCCGAAGAAATGGGAATTCACGGAAACACGTAATTCTTTGGCATCGGTAGTCTACTTGCTGTTACGTGTTCTCATTTCTCCCGTGAGGAATCGCGAGCTCTAATTATAGCTGACGTGTTGCACAGAGTCCATCGTCACAGAGTCCACGCAAATCGAATATCCATCTATTTTATCCGCGTAAATTCTTTTAGCATTTATATATACATATCGCCCTTTGTGCGCCTATTATCGATTTTTATTTACAGGTATATGCGTCAAGGTAAAAGGAGAAGCAAATACTTATTGGACAACGGATAAACAAAGATTGGATAATACAGGAAACTATAGAGATGAGAATACAACGTTCAGCGCACACGAAGAGTATTTTCAGACAAAGTACTATCTCGTCGGATCGGCTTCTGGTAATGACGACGCCCATTTTTATATTTTTTCTTTTGTTCCTTTTTTCATCGTTCACAGGTTTTAATCGGATTTTCTTTTCCCTTTTTCTCAACTTCTTGTCAGGAAATGAAATCGAGATACAAGCAGGCGAACACAAGTTCCCGTTCACATGTACTTTGCCGGAAAATTTACCGAGCAGTTTCGAGTCTGACTTCGGGCATGTTCGATATACGGTCAAGGCCATCTTAGATCGCCCATGGAAATTTGATCAGGAAGTTAAAGCGGCATTCACGATCGTCTTGCCGTTCGATCTGAATCAAGAACCGAGGACATCGGTAGGTTCTTGCCTAACAATTGTAACAGACTCGAAAAAGGAATATTAATCGAATAGAGAATATTTTCGCTTTGACAGGAACGAATCAGAGAAGAAATGAGTAAATCCTTTTGCTGCCTTTGTTGCACCAGTGCACCTTTGAACGTCACCTATTCTTTACCGGTCAGAGGATACGTTCCTGGTCAATCGATGCCGATTAAGATAAACGTCGAGAATTTATCTAACGTTACCGTAGCACGCGTTACTCTGAGCCTTTGCAAGGTATAAGAATATCGTCTCGCGGTTGACGCATTTAACGATACGACGATACGAAAAGGTTTTCTATCAAGTATACAATTTTCAAGTTCAGATCGTGACATTCCGTGCTACTAGTCCACAAACGGATACGCGAATCGAGGAGATAGTGGTAACGGAGGTCAGTAAAGGGCCCGTCGATGGCGGAGCTACTTCCGATTACGAACAAAACTTGGACGTCCCGGCCCTTCCTCCGTCGAATTTAAATAGTTGCGGTATCATCGATCTCGAATATCGTCTGAAGGTCGAAGCATGCATCGAAGGATGGTTTGTAATTTCGATGTTATTTCAAACGTATAGACTATGCGTGCGTATTTCTTCAAAATAATATATCGATCAATTGTCGAATCTATATACTTTGAAATTTTCTTATCTCTACGCCAACAGGTATCATCGTAATTTGAAGAGCGACACTCCCGTTTTCGTCGGAACGATACCCTTGGTGAATTATCAAATACCAAGCGCTCCTCCCGAGAATACTATGTTCGTCAGTTCACCGACGAAAACTTCGGAAAAATATTATCTATCTCCTACTTCGAATTTATATCCAGAATTACGTAATGATCATTTCCGTTTTCTTCATGATTTCATTATTTTTCAGCGTTATTACTACCGCTATCATTAATCTTCTTGAGCAACGATCTAACGTTATAACTTTTTTATGATTATTTCGTAGCACCCCCGTCGTACGAGGAATCAACGTATGGCGCCAAAAATCTACGAGAACGCGGCGAGTCGGAATATGTGATTGGTCTTACGAATCAATTCGCACCGAAATATCCGGTTTATCATTTTCCAACGGGTCAGTGAAACGACGAAACGAATCTCTATCAAAGGGAAAAGCTTTCGTTCAAATTCTTTTTCTTATGCTTGGATGCAAATATTGGATGGAAAAAATCTCTTATCCTTCTGTAACATCACATTTTGTAATTTTTATGTCCCACGCTTATATTCTCTTTATTTCCTTGTACCCGTAACGAACCCCTAGTAATTATTATTTCATATCTGAATTTTTTTCATCTTTTTAAAGAATAATTTACATTTACCTTAGGCATCCTAATAAAAAATTTAATATTATATAATGTGGAAGCTATAACATTACTTATACTAGTATAAAAGTTATAGTATACTTATATATTATATAATTATACTGGTAATATGATTTGAGTATTGGTATAAAGTAATGCCATAACTTTTACATTGTACATTTTTTTTTTTTTTTTTTTTTTTTTTTTTAATATAAGAATTGCTTTATAAAATACGATCAAAAGAATTATTTTTCTCACGAAATTATATGACGAAGGATAAAAATACTAGTATCGACTTGAAGTAAACTTCACTGCCAGCTTCTAAACTTTCCAAGTTTGGAATATGTTTATTGCTTTACATGCAAGCACAATACCATTTTATACATGTACGTCTTTATAGATTATAAAGTACAGCTCAAAGCGCGCTAATATTTTTCGATTATTACATATTAAGCACTGTGAATTTGGAACTATATTCGATATGGATTGATTTTATTATTCAACCGTATAAATCAATATGACATTTACTTGATTATTTGTTAGTTGATACGAATGATAAAAAAAAAAAAAACGTAAAAAATTCTTACGAAATTGTATCGCTCATTTCATTCGATTCAATAAATTTTACAAACGAGTAATAGTTATAGGATAAAACGAAATTTCGCCGAATACTACGTATGATATTATTTATGGCTAACAGCATCGCATACTGACAATATGTTAATGCGCGAATTTCTATATCCTTCTCGATTGGAATTATAACTGGACTTGAAAAAAATATCAATCAAGAGTATCGTCTAACGGTAGAATATTTCGACAGATTATCTCTTGGACTCCGAAAGATCTCTATATTTATGAGCACGTAAAGTTTTATTTCTCGAAGAATTAAATTACAAAATATCTTGGATATATTTTTATATAACTCAAAGAATGCCCTCAGAGAAAAATTATATCATCGTCGAACAAGACTCTCCGTTAATCGCCAGTTATCTTTATACGATGAAATCAATGGTCAATTAATATTACTTGCGAAATAATATTTATCGTATATCAAACTATGAAAATGCATTGATATGCATTCTTGAAACCTGTATAACCGACAGTTTGCTATATCATCTACCATTTAATGTCTTTTTATTTATTCGCCTGAAGAAACATCGGTAATGTCGTACGCTGTTTGTTACTCATCGGATACACATGTCGTCACTTTAACATTATTGAGAAATCGATGAAAGAATATTCACGTATATACATACTTTTGTGTTTATTTAACAAGTATATAAGCAAATGCCATCGTTGACGTCAAGTGTCAATTATTATTTGTACGCAACTTGGCCGGAGTAAAGAAAAACGCGATTTGTTGCAGCATCATCGGCAGATGAGAAAATGGAGTCGCTGGTGAAGGATGATAAAATTTTTTTACACTTACGGATATTACATTTACGCATTTTAATATATAAAGGGAAAGGGTGATGGTGGTGGTGGTGGTGGTGGTGGTGGAGGAGGAGGAGGAGGAGAAGGGAACAAAGAAAAAAGAAAAGAAATAAATGAATGAATAAAAGAAAAAAAGAAAAAGAAAGATACATATATTTAAAAATAATGAAAAATATTGGTAGGGAGTGGGGTGGTGGAGAGAAGCGCGATTTATATTCTCTTGACACATAGAATCCAATAGGAAAGTCATTGTTGATAACGCGAAAGATTTCGATCGCTCGATTTTTTTAGCAATTTTTTTAATCGATATAAAAGAAATATTGTCAAACTTTAGTGTAACGTAGTCGGGCAATTCTGAGCTTAACGATCGATTATTTCCTTTTTACTTCGGTTTACACGACAAACGAAACGAAAGGCGTTTCGCTTGGACAATTGATCGACAAAACTAAAATCATTACTAGGAGGACTAGGGCGACCTTCACACTTATATGTTTATTTTAATAGATTGTATTGTGATTCTTGTTGCACTCTTTTGTTTAAAAACAAAATGTATTTTATCTCTTGACGAAAAGACCGTAGTAGTCAACGGTTTCCTATAAATATTCTACCATCCAATGCGTAACAAGATGTTCGCCCGAAGAGCCATCAGAGATATCAATTTTTATATACCAAACAAGGTTATAACAAAATTCGACATAGACTACTACAACAACAACAACACTCGAAATTAGACGCTCGATCACATTTATTTTCCC